TGATACCGTGAACTTTTTCTAATAAATCACCTTATACCCTTAAGACCATGACCTATTTTCATTAATTTAAAGCACATCATACCCTTGATACTGTGAACTGTTTCCATTAAAGCACATCATACCCTTGATACTGTGAACTGTTTCCATTAAAGTACATCATACCCTTGATACTGTGAACTGTTTCCATTAAAGTACATCATACCCTTGATACTGTGAACTGTTTCCATTAAAGCACATCATACCCTTGATACTGTGAACTGTTTCCATTAAAGTACATCATACACTTGATACCGTGACATGCTTCCATTAAAGTACATCATACCCTTGATACTCTGACATGTTTATCACTGTCTCGATGCTTTGCACTAGGTAAACTACGCTAGAGTAAGTCTCAGATTCCCACTGTGTCATTTCTGTTTTTCGTAAAGTTTTCTCCAATCTAATCAAACCACCAGTCCACACAGCAAGCAGACAATTTGCTCTATAGCCGCAGGTTTCTGACCGTTGTTTTAACCCTTAACCCAACTCTAAACCTGGGTCTTAGTATAGCTAAACCACACGCACTAACCATCTTATTATCTAAGGTATCACCAGCGCTTTGAGTTACACCGTGCATCTTTATGACCCTGGAATTAACAAGGAATTATCGCGCATGGTTATTCACAGTTTATTTATATCATACTCATCTTGCGTCTTTTGTATTTGAATCTATGTACTTCACTATCCGTGTCAAACATAGTGTTAGCTGTGATAGTAGTACAAGTGTAGTGCACGTTTTCGATCCCCGGAAATTTGTGTTAGGTGAGAGTGCGCTGCCCTCCCAATTTTATTGCATTATTTCCCTTTGGTTAAAAGTTTGGTATAAAAAGTGCGAGTGATTCGGGTAGGGTGTTGAGAAGAGAAATGCCACAGTGATTAGTACTTTTCAACCCAAACGACGTGGTTTACTGCAGAGGCGAAGCGACCCTTTCCAGCGCCCGGGGACAAACTTTCAATTTGGCGCCCCCATCGGGAGCAAATTTTCAATTTGCACCACCCCATCAACTTTTCGATTTGCACACCCCCCCGTCAAACTTTCGATTTGCCCCCCCCCCCCCCGTCAAACTTTCGATTTGCCCCCCCCCCCCCTCAAACTTTCGATTTGCCCCCCCCCCCCCCCCTCAAACTTTCGATTTGCCCCCCCCCCCCCTCAAACTTTCGATTTGCACCCCCCCCCCCTCAAACTGCAAAAGTGCAGCTGAATTGACATTTTAATCTGTTTTTACAACCCATATGCCCCCCCCCCCCCCTGCCCCCCATCGCTACGCCTCTGGTTTACAGTGTTCTCATAAGAGGATAAATAATCTAACAAAAAAAATGGGGTGAGAAACTCTAGAGCGTTGATGTGTTTTGTCGGTATCATCGATAGGGACAGAGCCCCAAAGCTAGGTTTGGTTAAGGATCAGGGCTAAGGTCAAGGCGAGGGTCAGAGCAAAGGTCAAGGCTAGGGATAAGACTATGGTTAATGAACAGGGTCAAAGGTCAGGGCTAGAATTAGCGTGAGTTGCGATTTAGTTCTGCGCCTCAATTTAAAACCTCTCTTTTGGAACTAATCCTTCTACAATCTTAAAGCACGCTACAATCGCTAGATCTACATGTTAAAAATACTCTTTGGTTTTCCCGATATGTAAAAATAACCTGTTTACCAAAAGGAAGTTGTCATTAGACGGTTCAACCGCGAGGGTGGGTCGGAGGGTGGGAGGGGCGGGTAAAACTCGTGTACAGTCCGACCAGGTTCCGGTGTGGCCTGATGGTTGACACGACCTTGGTTTTAGACCCGGACGACATCTCACGGCCATAACTCGACAAGTCCCACTTGTCTCCCCCTTGCATGGCGCGTGAACAAACGGTCATCTGGCTATTGTTGTTAACGGTGGCCAGGTTTGGTTTAAGTGTATGAGGTGGAGGGGGGGAGAGTGGTAGGGGGGGGGGGGGGGATGATGGCTAAAGAAATCAATAAAACACGTATTTAAAAAAAAATCTTACGCGTAGATTTAAAAACCTAGTAATCTGTGCACTTCTGATAATGTCATAGGTCAGGGGTCGGCAACCTTTTTAAGCGGAAGAGCCAAAAGTTACAATTTTCAAAATTTCACTGGTTTCAAAGAGCCACTAACAATTTTTTTTATTTCAAATATTTTATTTTTTTATTAAGATTATTAGTATTTGTTCAAGGAGCTGGAGAGCCGCATCTTGATATCAAAAGAGCCGCATGCGGCTCGCGAGCCGCAGGTTGCCGACCCCTGGTTTATACCTATTGTTATAGCGTTTATTACCGAGTGTTGTCGACTAATATTTTTATGAGTTTTGTAAATAAAATAAAATAATTATTAATATTTGTGCATGGAGCTGAAGAGCCGCAACTGGACACCAAAAGAGCCGCATGCGGCTCGCGAGCCGCAGGTTGCCGACCCCTGTCATAGGTTATTTGAGCAGTGATGGCTAGCCGTGTTTGTGTCAAATCTAAATATAGAATCGGTAATTGTTTCCGATTGGTCAATTCCTTGGCTAGCAAGAAGTTGAGAGAGAGAGAGAGAGAGATGGGGGGGGGGGGGGGGGGAAGGGGGGGGGGGGGGAGACAGGGAGATGAATAAATTTGATGTCAAAGATAAAAAAATTCGTTGAATTTGTGAACAACTTGAATCTGATTGTCACCAGCACACGCCGCAGTTGGAGTTGATTTCTTAAATCAGGAGACGATCAACGGCTGAAGACATCGTACTTTTCTCTTCATATAGATTAGCCTTACACATACTCTTATCGATGGCTAATCTGTTGCACTTAGGGTTAAGCGTGGGGCTATGTGATCGGCTTTATATTATTTTTTAAAGAAGCTGTTTCGGATTCCTGAAAGTAAAATGAAGATAAGTTCATCAGTGTTATGGGGGTCGGTGTGGTTGCTAAACCGAAAAGTCTCGAGTTCCGAAATCAAACAACTGCTGCCTTGTAGTTTGTTCTTGGTTGGACAAAGGCTATGGAAGCAAATCCAGAAAGAAAATCAGGCTAAAATAAGACTTGTAAGTTCAACTAAGTTCTCCTTCTCTCTCACTTAAATTCAAATCTCGTTAGCAAGGGAGAGATAAAAGTTTTCGAACTAGATCAATTGTTGTGAACGGGAATCCCATTGATAACAAAAAACATTTGTATTCTATCTATATATTTATGTGTGTGTGTTATTTTCAACTTAAAACAATAACTCATCGTCTGAGCTTGTTTTGATTCCAAAAGCGAAAGTAGATTTCATAACATAAAAATAAAAGATTTAATAAAAAATATTTACATTTGGTTTAAAAAAAAAAAGAAAACTTAAGCTGGCAACTACCAAAACGAGAAATTGGTAAACTATTTTTTACAACTTACAAATCCTATCGGAGTTATCGGCTTATATGGCGCATAACAACAATAGAATTAAGAACGATGTAGATCAGTTTAATGGCTTGAGCACACACAGAATAGTAGTGTGGTCACAGCAACCATACCCGGTTGTTATAGCTTGACTAGGGTTCGAACTCGAGACTTTTCGGTTTAGCAGCCATGAGCTTTACCGACTCGACCACGCCGACCCTTAAGAGCTGAGCTGACTCGGTTAATAATGATAGCCTTTTTTATCCCAACCCTTACTTCGTTACAGAACATCAGACAGCCACGCGAAGTCACATGTCACTAGTAAATCCCAGAGCTCTGTAAAATGACATAACAAGTTTACTTCAAACACACCCCTATTTAAAAAAAAAATCTAATTTAAATCCGCGTTTTTTTTCATTATTTTATTTCCTAGTTTAGCAAACTGCGTGATTCATTTTCTAGACAGACTCTAGCAACACTTCACTCAACTACACGACTACATTGACTAGCAGAAACACATTGTTATCTGTAGAAACACATTGTTATATGTAGGAACACATTGTTATATGTAGGAACACATTGTTATATGTAGAAAAACATTGTTATATGTAGAAACACATTGTTATATGTAGAAACATATTGTTATATGTAGAACCATATTGTTATATGTAGAATCACATTGTTATATGTAGAACCACATTGTTATATGTAGAACCACATTGTTATATGTAGAAGCACATTGTTATATGTAGAAACATATTGTTATATGTAGAAAATATTGTTACATGTAGAAACAAATTGTTTATGTGTGTGTGTGTGCGTGCGCGTGTTTGTGTGTGTGTGTGTGTGTAATAACTTCAATTATAGACAGTGACGTGAACACCTTTGAGGAAATGCCACCTCCTAACGTAGCAGACAAGACACGATGTGAAATGTATTCCTTAAAAAAATCGATCGCCGTCTATTTTTAGATTAAAATTATTATACCTACAAGCTACTGGTCCAGTGAAACTATCGAAATTGTAGATTTTTTTTTTGTTTTAAAGCTATCAAACTGGTTTCATATAGTCTTTATCGTGTTTTATATTGTATATCATGAATATTTTAATAATAACTTAATCAATTCTTTTAAAACTGGCTCCATCTTTATCGTGTTTTATATTTTGTTATGTATATCAAATGCGCATCAGAAAAATACCTCAAAATACCTCAACACAAACTCATTATATGTATACACTTTCATTTGCTCATGTATTGAAAAATGTATTGTTATGCTACAATGAAGGCCTACATGTGGTCATTCTTTGTTTATGTCTTGAAACTATCGATTTTAAATTAATGCCATTGCGCACTTTTATATTCGCAATATTCGGTCGCGCTTTGTTGTGGGTATGTTTGTGTGTCCGTGTTGTGTGCTCCTATGTGTGAGCGGCTTTACGTGTGTGAGTAATGTGACGCTTTACTTCTACAACTATTTTTTGTCATTTAGTTTTATTTCGATGTGTTTTTTTTAATTTTTCAAGAGTTACACAAAACCTTCATCTTCATCTTTTGAAATTCATTATCATTAAATCCAATCCCAAATGTTCTCTTTTTTACCTGCGACAGGCAGAAAACCTGTTGCCTGTCAGCCATGACGAGGGACGGGTTGACCCCTGTGGTCAAAATTCGGACCTCCCACAAGAAGGCGCGGGAATGTCAGTCACTCCCGCTTTTGGAGCGGACGCCCAGGGAGACGCCGTACCAGGATTACAGGTGAGATGGATAAATTAGTTCCACATGTCTCAAAATTTACACGTAAGATGGATAAATTAGTTCCACATGTCTCAAAATTTACAGGTAAGATGGATAAATTAGTTCCACGTGTCTCAAAATTTACAGGTAAGCTGGATAAATTAGTTCCACGTGTCTCAAAATTTACAGGTAAGCTGGATAAAATAGTTCCACGTGTCTCAAAATTTACACGTGAACTGGATAAAATAGTTCCACGTGTCAAAAAATTTACTGGTGAGCTGGATAAAATAGTTCAACGTGTCTCAAAATTTACAGGTAAGCTGGATAAAATAGTTCAACGTGTCTCAAAATTTACAGGTAAGATGGATAAATTAGTTCCACGTGTCTCAAAATTTACAGGTAAACTGGATAAAATAGTTCCACGTGTCTCAAAATTTACAGGTAAGCTGGATAAATAAGTTCCACGTGTCTCAAAATTTACAGGTAAGCTGGATAAAATAGTTCAACGTGTCTCAAAATTTACAGGTAAGATGGATAAATTAATTTCACGTGTTTCAAAATTTACAGGTAAGCTGGATGAATTAGTTCCACGTGTCTCAAAATTTACACGTGAACTGGATAAAATAGTTCCACGTGTTAAAAAATTTACTGGTGAGCTGGATAAAATAGTTCAACGTGTCTCAAAATTTACAGGTGAACTGGATAAATTAGTTCCATATTTCTTAAACTATACAGGTAAGCTGGATAAAATAGTTTCACATTTCTTAACATTTACTGGTAAGTTCGATAAAATAGTTCCACTTTTCTTAAAATATACAGGTGAGCTGGATAAATTAGTTCCACATGTCTCAAAATTTACAGGTATGCTTGATAAAATAGTTGTACATGTCTCAAAATTTACAGATGAACTGCCTAAATTAGTTCCATATTTCTTAAAATAAAAAGTAGAGCTAGATAAATGAGTTCCACATGTCTTAAAATAAAAAAGTAGAGCTGTATAAATGAGTTCTACATTTCTTGAAATAATCTTGAAGGACAAAGTGTGCTGAATATAGATTTTAATTGCATTAATTCTGATCGTCTGTGCGGAACACTGGTTTGTTATAATTCACCAGTTTGGGTTATTTTTAAAATAAAACCAATTACTGGATCGATCGAAAGGCAAATTTAGAAATTAAAAGAAATCATGTTTTGGATTAACAAAACATTTTTCTAAAATTATTCCAAAATATATTTTTAGATTAAATATTGATACTGTTAATGCTATGTTAAGAACCTTATTCTTTATTTGTATTGCACATTTGTATTTTATTTAAAGCACGTAAGTATATTTTTTCCAGAAATATCTCCTTTAATGGGATCATTAAGGTCTTAAAATCCATTGGGTAACCTCTCAACGGGATCCCAGAACCCTAAAATATTTGTTATAATGGGGTCATAGGATCATAGAGCTATTAACCAGTGTTTGTTTCAGACTTTTTTCTCCTAATGGAGGGGGGGGGGGGAGCTCTTGAAATTTTCGGGATGGGTGGGAGGGGGGGACTCTATTTTCTGGGTGGGGAGCGGACACTGGTAAAAGTATATATTTTCTACATACATTCTATTTCGTCGAGGGGTGGGGGGCGAAGAGATGCCTGGAAGAAACTCTGCTCTTAACATCTACTGGGCAACACCTCAATGGGACCCCAGTACCCATAAATATCTAATTTCATGGGATCACCCCCCCCCCCTTACGTTATGGCATACATTAAAAAGCAGAATACCAAAATTAACTTTAAATAAAAATGCGCGTGTAACAAGCACACGAACAATTAACTCACCAATTTAGTTTAAACCTAATCACGTCCCCAGCCCTTATAACAAAAGATGTACTTCAAGCCGGTGAGGTGCTAAACAGCGAACGTACACACCGGCGTAGTAGAGAGAGTTAAAGACTCTCCCCGCCCGGGGGAAGGGCTAATCCACATTTAAAGATTTTATTTGTTCAATTTAATTCATCCACTCCCGTGACATTTATTTGAAAAAAAATATTTTCAAAGTTTAATTAACAATAATTGGAAAAAAATTAAATGTGTCTTTACAATGTGCCATGTTCACTGTCACAAAAGACATTCAGTTTTTTTTTAATCCTTTAAGATTGAATTGGAGAATTTAATTGTCTGGCATTCTCGGATTTATGGGGTCGCAGTGGTTCTCAAAATAACAAGGGATGAACTGTGACTTTTTTTTAGGGGACAAAATGGCAAAAAGCTTGTTTTTTAATTGCAGAGGAATCCTGGAATATCAAGATTAGTTCAAAACAAACTTATTTTAATTTTACAGACAAAAATAAAAAAAAAGCAAATAAAATATTTTTTATAAAAACAGTTGAGGGACCATTGTGTAGGACAAGAGTGAAATGTTGACAGTTTAAACTGACGTATTGGTTAATTGCTCTAGGGCCAGGATTCTACGCTTAGAGACGACAGATTAGATGTTCTTGTTTTAGTTTCTAGACTAGGGGTTCACAATTTGTTTAAAGACAGGACCAGTGGCGTAGCCAGGATCGTCTCAAGGGGGGGGGGGTTCCAATTTTTACCCGGGGACAAACTTTCGATTTGCACCCCCCCCCCCCCCCTCAAACTTTCGATTTGCACCCCCCCCCCTCAAACTTTCGATTTGCACCGACCCCTCAAACTTTCGATTTGCACCCCCCCCCCCTCAAACTTTCGATTTGCACCCCCCCCTCATACTTTTTATATATACCGAGGGGTCTATGGGGGGGGGGGGGGGTTATGACCCCCCTCTAACCCCCCCTGCCTATGCCACTGGACAGGACAGTTTTGATGTACTTCTATCTTAGTCTCTAGACTAGGGCAGAGGTTCTCAATTTGTGCTCTTGGGGTAATCTATAAGAGCATGAGCGAAGATATACGAACATTTAAAATAAAATGATAAAATAATTTTTTTGGCCAAATAGCCACTTAGAAAATACGGGGGACGCACCAATGTTTCGAGAATCACTGTTCTATAATTTCAGGAATTATTTTTTTCATTTTTATTTCAGTTATGTTGATTAAATCTAGTCAAGGAGTTCATTTTTTATTGCATTTATTTCTTGTTTAACATCGTCATTTTGTGTGTGGATAGATTGATTTAGATTTGATTTTGCTTAACCGTAATTTGTATGTACCTTACATGTATATTGATTTTTAATATCATTGGGGTTAATAAAGTTCCGAAGAGTTGATTAAGTATTCAATCAATAAAAAAAACAGCGTTGAAGTCGCTTATGTAATTGCATGTCTTTTTTTTTAATTTTCAACTCAATATTTTCCAACTTCCAACTCAATTTTTTTTAAACCTCCAACTCCATTTTTTCCAACTTTCAATTTATTCCAACTTTCAACTCAAAATTTACTAACTTTCAACACGATGTATTCCAACTTTCAACTCAATTTATTCCAACTTTCAACTCAAAATTTTCCAACTTTCAATTTATTCCAACTTTCAACTCAATATTTTCCAACTTTCAACTCAAAATTTTCCAACTTTCAATTTATTCCAACTTTCAACTCAATATTTTCCAACTTTCAACTCAATTTATTCCACCTTTCAACTCAAAATTTTCCAACTTTCAATTTATTCCAACTTTCAACTCAATTTATTTCCAACTTTCAACTCAATTTATTCCAACTTTCAATTTATTCCAACTTTAAACTCAATTTATTTCCAACTTTCAACTCAATTTATTCCAACTTTCAATTTATTCCAACTTTCAACTCAATTTATTTCCAACTTTCAATTTATTCCAACTTTCAACTCAAAATTTTCCGACTTTCAATTCATTCCAACTTTCAACTCAATATTTTCCAACTTTCAACTCAAAATTTTCCAACTTTCAATTTATTCCAACTTTCAACTCAATATTTTCCAACTTTCAACTCAATTTATTTTCAACTTTCAATTTATTCCAACTTTCAACTCAAAATTTTCCAACTTTCAATTTATTCCAACTTTCAACTCAATTTATTTCCAACTTTCAACTCAATTTATTCCAACTTTCAATTTATTCCAACTTTAAACTCAATTTATTTCCAACTTTCAACTCAATTTATTCCAACTTTCAATTTATTCCAACTTTCAACTCAATTTATTCCAACTTTCAACTCAAAATTTTCCAACTTTCAATTTATTCCAACTTTCAACTAATATTTTTCCGGTGTTAAAATCTAACAGTACTTGATAAAACCAAAGGTTGGTAATACGTTAACACTGCGCATGTGCGGAACACCTGGCCCTGCTCACCTTTCAAGAACTGTATTCATCTGTTCTCATCGAGAATCAAAACCGTGAATTAAAAAAAAAAAAAAAAAAAAAAAACAGACATAGATACACATTTTTGGGCTCTGTGGTTTGTTTATTGTGATTTGTTTATTCACTATGGGAAGAAGGATTACTCGGTCACACACCGTCCCACATGGTCAGGTCGTGAGATCGAACCCCCCCCCCCCCCACCTCACCCACTGACGGACCCCTCAGTCCATTGGCAAATTACCCCCCCCCTGTCGTCCGTCAGCAGATCAACCTCTCTGTCCCACCCTGTTCTTCATTTTCAGATCGATCCCCCCGTCCCACCCTGCTTTCCATTGTCAGATCGACCCACCCCCCGTCCTCTTTTGGCAGATCGACCCCCCCGTCCTCTATTGGCAGATCGACCCCTCTTTACTACCCACCCACCCACTGTCGTCCATCAGCAGATCGACCCCCCCGTCTCACCCTGCTTTCCATTGTCAGACCGACCCCCTGTCCTCTATTGGCAGATCGACCCCTCTGTTCTACTCACCCACCCACCTACTGTCGTCCATCAGCAGATCGACCCCTCTGTACTACTCACCCACCCACCTACTGTCGTCCATCAGCAGATCGACCCCTCTGTACTACTCACCCACCCACCCACTGTCGTCCATCAGCAGATCGACCCCCTCCTGCCCCACCCACCTACGCCACAGCAACTTGAACAGCGAGTGTTCTACATATCACGTTCGATCGCGCCAAAAATTCTTAATGCAATTCAGCATTCATTTACCTCACCACCCCTCCACCAGATTTTTATACTTCCATTTTCAGCATTCTCCTGTCATCAACAATTTCACACCGTCCGCGGCTTATCCTGTAATATTTAATCACATAACTCCCAACAATATCATATCTGTTTTTACTTCGCCATTAATCCTTACCTCCCTTTCCCTTGTTTATCTACTTCAGCCGTATCAAGAAAATGGTGCAAGCGAAGGCAGATTTAAAAGGGGAGCTAACCACCTCGGATCTGTTCGTCGACTCGTCTTTCCCGCCGGATCGATCGTCCTTGACCTACGTCTACAGCGGCGATGACAAATATGAGAGAACCGTGTTCAGACGACCGAAGGTAAATGTTAATAGCTTGTTTGTGTCCCCGTCCCCGGGCTTTCTTGTCAGGTAGGGGATGGTTTGTCCCCCCATCCCCTTAGCCTCCTACCCCACCCCTAAGTGTGCACGTCTGGAGTTCAATACCAGGTGGATGCTGATTGGTTGACCTTTTGGTGATGTGATCCTTTCCGTGACATGTCACGTGTTTACACGATGACGTCAGTTGTACAGGTGTTGTTGATGTTTGGACAGTTTTACCTGCACGTTGATGCGCTGTGTCCCAGTGTGGTACCTCTCCAAGACATTCGATTCTCAAGGTAGTTTTGCCCCCATCCAGAAATATCTCTTCATTGATTACTACCGCTTCCAAATTATTTTTTTTGCAGTACTATACAAAAGTTGATTGTGTAGAAAAACGGTAGAGCATTCGACTGCTAACCTGAAAGTCTCGAGTTCGGGTATTGGACTCGAGTCCGTAAGACATCCCTGAGTTAACCCAGCTCCGATGGATACCTGACTCACGTTAGGGAAAAGTAAAGGCGGCTGGTCAGAGTGCTGACCACAATATCCCCTCAATATGCCGAAGTCACAGAAACAGATGAGTACTACTGTGAAGATGTTCCTCTCTACCGCCCAAACATACATCGTTTATCTTTGCTTTGTGTAGAACTTCATTTAGTATCTAAGCTCTGTAGAATTATCTAAGGTATCTTTCTCTTTGCAGAGCAATCGAGCGTACAACGTAAATATTGCACCTCCCTTAGTATTATCATGTCATAAAGGTGGTTATAGGCGTGGTCGAGTCGGTTAAGCTCATGGTTGCTAAACCGAAAAGTTCGAACCCTTCCAGCACTAAAAATTAAGAACCAAGAAGAAGAAAGGTGTTAATCTATAGGGTGGTGTTGTGTCTTTAAATACTTTGTAAGCAGATTTTAATAAAGAATGGTCGGCTTATATTAATGAAGATTTCGGGAGATTTGTTTTCATATAAAACCAAGTATCGACGATAAAGAAAATGTGTACTTAATAAACAATATGTTAACATTTTTCCTATTTACGGCAAAAACAAACTTCCGGCCCAGTCAGTACAAAAAAAAAATCTGAATATTCTAACGAACAAAACGTGTCCAGCTGACAAAAACACACCCTAAAGATTTCAGATTCCCAATCTTTATTGAAAACTCCATCACGGGATTGGCCTCATTAGACGCGGACAGAACTGACTATTCTTTAATAGCCATTATTTCACCGGCTTTTTTTTCTCTTTATTCAGATATTTCGCAATGTATCTTTTACGGTAGCCTACTTTCGCTTGAATTCTAGACAATTCTAAAGGATAACAAGGGGTGGGGGAATATGGAGGACAAAACTTCTATTCGATGAGATAAATAAGTAAAGAAGGATTTTATTTTGTTTTAAATCACACAACCTGGAGACGACAAAAAAAAATTGATTGTAGTTATGCAATAAGTGGCGCACAAACACATAACTTCCGGCATCGGCCTTCCGGCTTGCCGGCAGACGTGCTATTGATCCGGTCAAGACACCACACAACCATATCGACAAACCAAACCACTACACGTAGGTGTGTCTCCACTACCTTATGTGTTTCGAGACGTTACCAGAATTAAAACCTTACAATCTTTTTTTTTTTTTTTTTCTTTTTTTTTTTTCTTCTTTTTTTTTCTTTTTTTTTTTTTTTGTAAAATAATGCAACGGTTAAATCATTCTTTAGATGAAAGAAACGTTGCAAAAAGGTATAGAAACTTGTGAAGATTTGCTCGCACATTTTTTTTTCTGTTTGAATTTTAACACCGGAACGTTATCATAATATGTAATTGATATTCAGAGTAGAAATTGAATTAAATTGTAAAACATAAACGGGCTGTCTATAAACCGTAATAGAAATATCTGTTGTTGGGGAATGGTGTGGTAAGAACTATGTTATCTGACTTCTTCATCTCTTATCCACGAATATGTGGGTTTTGTGATTACATTTTCTACCACACTGCCTAGACTGTATCAACTATTGAGTCAATATGTAATTTATTCAGTCAATATGCCGAGATGTAATTTATTTAGTCAATATGCCGAGATGTAATTTATTTAGTCAATATGCCGAGATGTAATTTATTTAGTCAATATGCCGAGATGTAATTTATTCAGTCAATATGCTGAGATGTAATTTATTCAGTCAATATGCTGAGATGTAATTTATTTAGTCAATATGCCGAGATGTCAATTATTTAGTCAATATGTTGAGGTGCTAGAAAATTTAGTCAATATGACTAAATGGTATTGATTCAGTCAATATGACGAGATGTTATGTAATTAGTCAACACCCCGATATGCTAGTTATTTTGTCAATATCTCAGAATATCCATTATGCATCACATTTGATAAGATTTTAGTCAATCTATACACTCAATAAGTCAATTAATTGTTCAATATATTAGGATGTCAATTAATTGGCCAATATACCAGGATGGCAGTCGTTTGGATAACACAAAAAGATGTCAATAATTTGTCATCATGCAAATGTGTCATTAAAAAAAACTTTGTTAATCCTGTCTAAGTAAAGAACACCAAAGGCAAAAAAAAAGTTTTTTTAAATTTTAATTTACAACAGCGTTTCAGCAGTGTCTTTTCCAACTGTCTTCACAATCCTCTTTTACAATTCCCTTTACAATTCCTTTTACAATTCACTTTACAATATCTTTACGTTTTCTTTTATAGTTCCCCTTTACAATTCCCCTTCAGTAATCTTTACTATTCCCTTTACAATTCTCTTTATAATTTTCTTAGCAATTCCCTTTACAATTCCCCTACAGTGACCTTTACTGTTCCTTTTACAATTACAAATCCCTTTACAATTCCTATTTCAATTCTTATTAAAGTTCTCTTTACGATTCCCTTTACAATTCCCTAACGATTCCCTTTACAATTCCCTAACGATTCCCTTTACAATTCCCTAACGATTCCCCTTACAATTCCCTAACGATTCCCTTTACAATTCCCTAACGATTCCCTTTACAATTCCCTAATAATTCCCTCTACGGTTCGCGGATGTTCAACAAACTATGTTTTGCCAGGTTTTTGTCACAATTTATCCTCAGAACGTCCCGTCGCCCTGACAACAACCTACACACGGCCAATAACCGCGTAAAATCCAACTATTGACGAAGAATTCTCTCCCTTTACATCACCCCCCCCCCCCCCTTTGACCTGCATCAGAGATCTGACAGACCACGAGTTGGGCGTGAGTGGCCTAATAAAGATTCGCGTGTTGCAATAGAGGCTTGCAGGTGCTTATTAGGCCGGCTATAAATAGACGCGTTATTTGCTAAAGTTCGGCTTTTATGAGTTAGGTATTGGGGACTGGGTGGGGCGAAAAGGTGGGGGTAGGTCAAATAAACAATGTAGAAAATATACTATATTCAATGTTCAATGTTCACTTTTTAAAAAGTACTTGTGGGTAGTCTCACCGATACATCCAAGAAATCTAGAAACAGCTACTGTTACTGTAAGAGAAAATTTGCAGAGAACTCCAATCCAACCCCTAGTTCTAGGTTTACGCTTAACCCTAGCAGAAGAAACTACAAGTATGTTCTTAATTTGAAAGCGCTAGGTATGTTGGTCTAACTCTGTTTCTAACCCATATCGTGATTCTCACCGTATCAAGTAGAGTTTATCTGCTTCAGATGACCTCGGTCATATGAGGGGATAACACTGTTGGGAAACTAACAGAGCTGATTAAACCCGGATTCGAACTCGAGACTCTCGGGTTATTAGTCTAGCTCTCTACCACTAGGCCCTATCGTGACTGTACGACTTAGGGTTTATAATTAAGGTTAGGCTCTGGGTCAGCGTTAGGAGCCAGAATTAGGTTCCCAGTACCTTCTCTAGACAAGCGATGCCAGCAATAGATAGCCCCACAAACCCTACCGAGGTTTTCCCCCAAATCGACGTATGACATATCGAAAAGCCAATCAACCAATTACTTCACTCGATACACTGATTGCTGTCAAACTAAGTTGTTAACTGCTTATTTTTATACTCGCGACGTCGTCCCAGCCGAGGTTAGAAGAGCCACACACTGCTCACCAGTTCGCTATTTAAAGACACGAATCAAGGTTAAAGATAGCCACGAGCGTTGTTGGTTGAGGAATGATCGTAATCGGCTTGTGAAGTACACAAAAACATCACGAGTTCGAACCCCCCCCCCCCCCACACACACACACGTGTTTTCAATATAGACGTCATGTTACATAATCGATACTGTTACAACAGTCAGAGGTGTAGCGACTTATTTCGGGTCGATTTATCGAGTTTGACCCCTCCCCCAGTTATATATAATTATTCACGTGGGCGAAAAGCCCCCCCCCCATTTGCAAAGGCCGTTGGCGCTTTTAAAAGTCAGTGTCCCTTAACAGTGTTTATTATGTCAGACAAATGATGCAGAAAACAGTTAAATATGTCTGCAAAGCCAATCAGCCGTTTATTTTTTAAAAGCTCTGACTGTGTATAATTCTTTAAGGCAGAGCAGAGTGAGCTTTTAAGTCGAATATCTCGATATCTCACTAGAGTACACACGGGTAGCAAATATTGACACACGCCCGCTATCACCCAGCTAGCTAATATCCAGGTAGCGAATATCCAGCTAGCGAATATCCACTAGCGAATATCCAGCTAGCGAATATCCACTAGCGAATATCCACTAGCGAATACCCACTAGAGAATATCCAGCTAGCGAATATCCAGCTAGCGTGTAGCGAATATCCAGCTAGCGAATATCCACTAGCGAATATCCAGCAAGCGAATATCCAGCTAGCAAATATCCAGCTAGCCAATATCCAGCTAGCCAATATCACGACGCTTTGCATCGATCCATCTGGAACTTATTTCATTCTTTGAAGCTGCCTTAAATCTCTGTTACAGTTCCATACTGTAATTATCCCCCTGTAATTAAACGATTATTTTCCCAACCGTAAGCTATACTGTTTAGGAACTTCACACGACTTCTATATTCGGGGACCATTAAAACACCCGCATTAATCCCTGTGGCTGTAAACAACATCCACTTCTGTCTACCCACAACGCTGATAGCATCGGCTTTTTAAAAGTATGGCAAGTGTAGTTTTAGGGGCATTTTGTTTAAAGGTTAGGTTAAGAAAAGTAAAGATTCCTCTTAAGACCTAGCGATCCATTGGGCAGATGAAGTAGAGTTAATATGTTTCTTGACCTCGGAAGGTACGGTCAGCACTTTGCCAAGCCTAATATAAGATAGGTACCCATCAGAGCTGGGTGGACTCAGGACCCAGATTCGAACTCTAGACTTTCGGGTTAGCAGCCTAGCGCTCTACCGCTTAGGCCACGCCGTCCCTTTTTTTTTTAAAAAGGTTAGCCACCTTGCAGCTCGCTTGCAAAAAGAAAGACACCATTTGAGCTGTAATGTCAGTCAAGGAATTCGAAATCCTCTGTACTTCTATTTTGTAGTCCCAATATATAGGCCTACTGTGTTTCCCTTTCGTAGTTCGTTTTGTTGTTACCGAAATGAATTGATTGCGTCGAGTTTTGTTCTGTATAGACCTAGTTTGGGTGGAGTTATTTTGTCGGGAACAGTATCGTCGAGAGATCTTTTGTCAACGGCTCATTTCTCGGCGGTCTTTAGATGGGAAACAGTAAGTCGGCAGTTCTGCTGTCGGGATCTTCTTTCTGGTCGGCCATAACTGTTTGTCGTTTTATTATGTTGTTTCTAATGTTTTCCTTTATAGACTCGCAATGTAGATTCCGGAATAATTTATAGCGCTCGTCCCGTACATTTTATTTGGAAACATTTCAGTTCTTACTGTAAGTCACTTCACTGTAACATACACATTTTTTTTTAAAGTCTTCAAGTCAGACGCATTTAAAAAGTTTTTTCTTTCACAAATTATTTTTTTAAATAGGAATTTCTTAGACATTGCATTTTAAAAAAAGTTAAATTAGCAGTTTGGGTAGATTATCTCGAAATATTAATCTAATTAAAAATTAAAATATTAAACAAGAACAATCCCCCTCCATACTGGTTAACCAACTTTTCCCACTTCACAGGAAATCAAGGAAGACCCCATCCTGACGGGGGTCGGGGGGATCTGTGACGAACCCTTCCCGTGGCAGTTGTGGAAACAGAGGGGGTGGTTTCACGCGGCCCTGGTGGTCGTGTCACTCAGCGTTCGTGCATTGGAGCGGCTGATCCCTGGGTTCAGAAACAGTGAGCAGAACTTCGACGCCAGCTATGTTGGTGAGTCATTTCGCGCGATGTCTGTTTCGTCCCAAACTCGTTTTAAAGACATACCTCAAAGATATTTATAGGAGCAGTGGTCAAATGTTAGAGCACACGATTGCTAACCCGAAAATCTTGAGTACGAATCCGGGTTCAAGAACGTTGAACGTCCTTGAGTACACCGAGCTTTGATGGATACCTGACGCTTAGGGAAAGTAAAGGCGTCTGGGTATAGTCCTGAGCATACTATTCCTTCATATTCTGAATTTACAGAAACAGGTGAACTCTACGTCACTTGCCCTATAAACCGTCAGGTTCTAAGGGGATCTTTACTTACTCTCAGAGATTTAATTTAACGACTAAATAATTCAAATCGAATATGTCTATTGATCTCAATCGATTATCTATTTTGTAGGCTGTTTTCATTTCCACATCTGGAGGTTTGGTGAGTGGGTGGACATTGTCGTCGACGATTATCTTCCCATCCTGGATGGCTTCCCTTTGTTCTCCCGCCCCCTGGGTAGTGCTGGAGAGATGTGGGGACCTCTGGTGGAGAAAGCTTATGCAAAGTAAGTGTACACACGTTATGCATGACAAGTAAGTGTACACACAATATACACGACAAGTAAGATTATATATAAGATCAGTTTATACACAATATGTTTTTAATATTTGTCAATATATACTTATAACACTAAACATGTTCCACAAACGCACACAGCAATTTATATATGTATATATATATATATATATATATATATATATATATATATATATATATATATATATATATATAATTATCCATCGAAACTAGTTTTTACTCAATGCACTTGATATTTTATACAAACTGTCTATGATCATACACGAGTCTTAGTCTTAACGTTCAATGAGTTGACAATCAAGTAGAGGTTTAGCCGAGATGTTCAGCTATGATTGGGCTTGTCTATCACCTACGTAAATTTTAATTCTTATACAGATGTGCAGAAAATATCACAAATGTAAAGATGGTCGACTAAACTTGGTGCCCACGTTTATAGATATGACTAGTATAGGAAACGAATAGGGAGTCGGACCAAGGCATCGACAGTTACATTCACTCCTCGGTGTGAGCATATGCCTCTAAAACAGCTGTATATTTGCATGGTCTATTGGTCACTAGACAGCACAATGTTGACCCTCAACTTGTCACAGACTAAATTTTGACACCAATTCAATTTGACACTTAACCCGAATACAACATTATCTTCATACATTTTCCCCACCCATCTCCCCCACCCCCACAGGTGTAAACGGACCTTCCAGGCCATCGAGTACGGCTTCACCCTGGACGTGCTGACCGACTTGACCGGTGCCATCTGCGAGTTCTTCACGCCGGACATTGACCCGCCCTCAAACCTGTTCCACATTTTGTACAAGTCGGCCTTGAACCGCTCACTCATGGCCTGTTGGAGGAACAACAAAAGACTGACCCCAGCCGGTTTTAACTGGTCAGATGACTCAGGGGTATGCATACGTTACCAACCATATATATATAGGTATATATATATATATATATATATATATATATCCTTTATGTAACCTATACATACGTATATAAATATATATAATTATTTCCAACCATATATATATATATGTATAGGATATATATATATATATATATATATATATATATATATATATATATATATATATATATATATATCCTATACATATATATATATATATATATATATATATATATATATATATATATATATATATATATATATATATATATATCACTATGTGGTTTAAATTTGAAAATAACTATAAAGAATTGTATTTAAAAATATTTTTTTTCGTTGTTAATTTTACATTCACGTTAATTAACTTTCGTATTATTAAAATAATTGAATGTAATATGAGGAAGTCAGCATAGCAACATTTAAGATGCTTCTGTCATTGAACTCTACCTTACTTAGATGTTCTAACCCATCATCCAATCACGACTGCAGAGGCGTAGCGACCCTTCGCGGCGCCCGGGGACAAAATTTCGATTTGCACCCCCCCTCGAACTTTTCATTTGCACCCCCTCGAACTTTTCATTAGAACCCCGCCCCCCAAACTTTCAATTTGGCGCCCCCCCTAAGGTCGGCGCCCCCCCCCCGCCCCCCCCCCCCTCGCTACGCCTATGCACGACTGGTTCTGGTGTTGCTGTGATCTACTTTACTTCTGTCTTTTCTCTGCAGAGTTCAGATAAAGACAGATACCTTCACATCATTACAGCGGTCAGCAAGGTAACTCACACAATCTTTTCAAATGTCTGTTAACCCTTTCAACGCGACTCCTAGACAAGGAAGTTCACGAAGATTTACATTCTCTCATCCCTTGTCCTGAAAGGGTTAAATGTTTTAAGCATTTCATTTTGATCTGTGAACTGGGAACACCGGGTTAATTGGTTTAGAGATCAAGTTAAATTTTAAAATAAATAAAAGGTGTCATTCGATACACACGTTGTGGAATCTAATTAACCTTAGTGCTCTATGTCAAAGAGTTGTATTCAAATATTTAGAATTATGTCTAGGCACCGTTCACATTTCTGGTGAAAGTTTTGCGACCACGAAACTGTTTGCAATTAGAAGGGAGTATTGTTGTGTGTCCCAACTAGACACATTCAGTGTCCATTAAACAAATACGTTATATTTTTTATAATCGTATTTAAATATGTCTGAGAGGAAATAATGGTGTATATCATCGATCCACTAAGTTAAGTACTCAAGTATGGCGTCTAAAGGCAGAGCATATTGAATAACTTTTTCTCTGTGGAGACCTAAATTGATTTAAATGTCGTAGCTCTGGTCTGATAAGGAATGGACTGGCTTTGCCCTAAAGGCCCGGGATATTTTAAAATAGGCCCTCAACCCCATGTTACGTTTTTCATAGTGCATTTTTTCTTCAACAACAAAAACTGAATTTTACGCCTTGGTATGAAGGCACTGAAATGTTCAAACGGAGAAATTCCAATCAATTATTAAAAAAAAAAGAAATCAAAACACTAATAGGGCTATTACAGCACAGTTCCTAGGGGCCCATTGAGACTTTTCTTGGGGGCCCTTCGGGATTTTTTTAACCTAGGGGCCCATCAGATTTTTCACTGTCCATCAGCGGGCCAGTCCACCCCTGGTTCTGATGAGTAAAAGACACTAACATGTATCATCTTATCACTGTATTCACTGTGTATTCACTGTTCCGTGTAACTATTTCCCCCAGTTTTCTGTGAGCGGTGGCCGCATGGAGCAGATGATCCGACTCAAATGTCCGTACGGCTCGGAGCCTCGATGGCACGGTCGATTTTCTGACGGGTAAGATTGACCTTTCACATTCCTCACTAGGGACTTGCACACTCTACACCACATCATCTTCCATAAAATTTATTATTATTTAAAGTATACTAGATCACCCATTATCCTTTGGATAACTGTGGGTTTAGGGGGTCACGCTTGCTTGCTTGACGATATTTATCTTCAACCTTCCTCTTCCAACTGTCACACATCGTCATAAAAAGTAAAGTCTTTTATTACCAAATTTAGAATAATATACATGTTTATTAATAGCTAGTAGGCCTATATAGGTTTAAAATAGTATAAATGTTAACAAACCTACTAGACATTACTTCTATCCTTTATACCATCCACGTCGTCTACAATATTTACCTCCCCTTCTCCCTCCCCAGCGATACACCCTCCTGGCAGAACGTCAACTCTGAATTCATGTCTCGTCTGCAACCCCATTCCAAGAAAGACCTCGACGAGTACTGGATGACCTACAGCGACTTCCGGTGCAACTTCGGCGGCCTCATCGTCATCAGCTCTCCGGAACCGTTCCGCATGGACGGGTTCAACATCCAGCGGACGTACCGGACCTACAGCGACGCCGGCCTGCACAGCACCGACACCTGGACGGAGGGCTCGTACCGGAACCGGGCCCGGCGGTTCACGTCGCCGAACGACAGCTTCGCCAAGCAGCTGTCCAAAAGGCGAACCAACAGCGACTCTGATTGTCACACGAACTTCTACGTCGACCCTGCCAGCGCACCGTGTTCGCCCTCAAGGAACGATAGAGGGAAAACCGAGCACACGGACGCTGCTATGAGAAGGCGGTTGTTCGTCGCTAAAGAAAGAGACTACCGCGCGCAGCTGTGCAGCGAAGCCGGACGGCAAAGAGCCGGGGACGACGACGGCAGCAACCCGTGCAGCCCGACCCGTCAGTCACGTGACGCCGGCGGGGGGGCGCCCCACCCCAGTGATAGTCAATCCTGCAACAAACATTTATCCAGTTCCTGTCTGCCCAGCCCGCGTAGGAGGAAATCCACGGGTGAAAAACTAAAAGACGCACCGGGGGCCCACAGCAGCCCGGGACACAAAACCGGTCACGCTTTTCGAAAAACCCACAAAACAAACTTCATGAAAAAACACAGCCTGGACACCACGCTGCACGGGATGTCTTTAACCTCCCCTCATCACTCCAGCACCGATAGTGCCACAGGCTCCGACCAGGAGTCTTCCGGTGTCTGGGCCTCGCCATCCGGATTCGAACCCAGCTTCTCGTTGTTGTCGACGCCGGCCGACACGCCCGACGAGTCGCACGCGTCAGCAACGTTCAGCGTGACGCCAGCCACCCCAGGTCCGACAACCGCAGACAACTCGTACTCCACGTCTGATGTGTTTCTGAAGATAGCAGACGACGGGAAAAGACCGCAAAGCGCGCCAAACTCGACCGGAAATACGAAAGACGTGTCGTCTGGTTCCCTTAGTTCTTTGACTCAAAGCTCGTTTCTGGCAACAAGGGGAGATTATTTCAGATCAGACGGCAAGTGGAGAGTTATCCTCGAGCATAAGGATATATGGAAAAGTAACCACTTTTTCTGTAATATTCGTTATACAAACGTCTCTATTTTGGTATATTTATAATTTTTCAGAATTCATTTTTTTAATTAAAATCAGCAGTAAGTTTTGAAACAATTTGTACTCTAACTTACTATATAACCTTTATTACGCGGTTTAAATGTATCTTTTTCTACAGTACCGTTGACTGGTATATTATCTGTGTTACTTGTCCTACCTGTATCTAAGTTACTTATCTTGACTTGCATCTTATCTCTGTAATGCTTACTTGTATCGTACTTCTGTATTGCGTATATTGACTTACATTTTATTTCCCCCTTCTTTATTCTAGTTCCTAGTAAAATGCGCAGTAGAAAATGCGCAACAGCGTTAACAGAAACATGCGCAAATACAAACTCATTACACTTATGAACTTTTATTTGATCCTATATCGTAGAAAAATGTTTTCTTATGCTACAAAGTACATTTGATCATTCTTTTCTAAAGTCTATAAATAAATCGATTTAGAAAAAAATCTATTGCGCACTTTTTGTGCTCAGTTTTCCGTTTTTCATCTTTCCGGTTAACCCTTTTTTACACACGTCATTAATTGTATCTCGTCTCTCGCCCCCCCCCCCCCCACCCCAGGGGACACGCCCAGCGCTGACCGCACCCGACTGGACGTCCACTCCAAGACCCACCGCGTCTACTTCCTGGTGACCCGGCACGAGGTCAAGGACCCCCTGGTGACCCCGACCCTGCAGGACAAGCGTCACGTGCTGATCTCGCTCATCCAGGACTACAGGCACGGCCCGTCCACGGCCAACTCGCTGCTCGTGCCCATAGGGTTCTGTCTGTACAGGGTGAGTAGAGTTCTTCTGATCATCGATTATGTTCGTGTTGTTTATTGATGCATTTTTACATTTTGTTGATACATGCTAGGTTTACTTGATGCATAATACATTGCAAGTGTTGATATATTTTAGTTTATGTTTCATATGTGATAGTTAACATTAAAATTTGATATTTCATAGTTAATTTTAAAACGCGATAGTCGATTGTTGATGTTATGAAAACTTGATACTTTCAAGTAATTATACAAACTTAATACTTGCTAGTACTTATAAACAATCTTGATACTTGCTAGTCCTTATAAAAACTTGATACTTGCTAGTCCTTATAAAAACTTGATACTTTCTAGTCCTTATAAAAACTTGATTCTTGCTAGTCCTTATAAAAATTGATACTTGCTGTAAAAACTTGATACTTGCTAGTCCTTATAAAAACGTGTTACTTGCTGTAAAAACTTGATACTTGCTAGTCCTTATAAAAAATTGATACTTGCTAGTCCTTATAAAAACTTGATGTTAGTCCTTATAAAACTTGATACTTGCTATAAAAACTTGATACTTGTTAGTCCTTATAAAAACTTGATACTTGTTAGTCCTTATAAAAACTTGATACTTGCTAGTCCTTATAAAAAACGTGTAACTTGCTGTAAAAACGTGATGCTAGTCCTTATAAAAACTTGGTACTTGTTAGTCCTTATAAAAACTTGATGTTAGTCCTTATAAAACTTTATACTTGCTAAAACAAACCTTGCCCCACTTCCAGACGAAGCACTGCGACAGGGACGAGAAGAGGCACATTTCAAAGCTCCAGCTGATCGGTCAGGTGGACGGCGAGCCGGACAGGCGGGAGGTCACGGCCAGGTTCGACCTTGACCCCGGGGGCTACTTCCTCGTGCCCTACTACCACGCGGACCATCACCAGGGCGAGTTCCTCCTGCGCGTGCTGTCGGAGTCTGACGTGGGTCAGGTCAAGGCCGGATGGTAATGATCATGTCAGACGATAATAGGGCTGGTAAGTAGGTCACCAACCAGTTCTATGGCTCATGCAGGTTTTATTGAGCCGTAGAACTGTTTGGTGACCGACTTACCAGCCCTATTGAAATAAGACAAAAATAGATATGCATGCAAGAAAATGAAAAGATATCCAACAACAGCTATTAGAATAGCAAGAAATTAGGCTTACAATTAGGCTTACAAAAGTCATAACTCAATAGAAATAGATTTTGAACAAATGAAATAGACATACATCCCATAGGAACAGACATACAACAATAGAGTTTGACATAGAGCAATAGAAATAAACACACACCAATATAAATAGACATACAATAATAGAAAAAGATATACAACAATATATTCTGACATACAATCAGCAACGAACAAACATTACCTGGCAATGTTGTATATATACGACTTCAAATGTACTTTAATGAAAAAAAATATCTAAAGGCTAATATCTTACAGTGTACATACACAATTCTATGAGTTAGAACAAATACAAGCTATTGTCGAAACGTGTTAAAAGTTATTATAGATTGGTATTTAAAAAATATTATAGGGATTTTTAGGAAGAGAGACTTTTTATTTAACCCATGTTTTTATTTTTATTCCAGCAAAATATCGTGAACACAGAGAGGCCAGAAACTGGGTGGGATATTTTCTGTGTTCATCTAATGTGCCTCGTGTCCGGATGTTACCAAGTACATCTACTCTAATCAGACATTTTTACATGTAAATACAAAAGTTGATGTTGAAGTGAAACGACATCAACTGGAAAAGGAGTTTCAAGTAATATGATGAGAAATAGACACAAAATCCAGGTGCAATTAAATCATTGTTCGATTTTTTCAAGTATTTTTTCTGTCGATGTTCGCCCTTAAAACTTAACAGTTTGATGCATCTAGTTATTGTAATTATATTCACTTGTAGTAACTAAAATAGCTTTAATTTTATCCAGGTTGGGTTAGGTTTAAATGTTGGTTAAATAATTAATTTGGTGCCATAGTCTGGTAGACGATTGGATTATTACGCCTAAGAAATCAAGACGCAAAAACTAGCCAGAGAGTTGAGAAGAGTCATATTTTGCCTATGTATTAGCCCCCCCCCCCCCCACCACACAGCTGATGTGCCCAAGGGAGGGGCGTTACCTACAGCATCTACAACGCAGGAATCAAGAGGCTAAAACTTCACGTTAAAAAGGAAAAAGAAACTGTGCTTAAAAGTGTGTGATTTCATGGGACTGGTCTGTAAGCCTGGGACTGATATGTAAGCCTGATGAAGGACATTAAAATCCAAGAACTAATATATGTGTAGACTGGCTATTTGTATTCCACACAATCATCAACTGGCTATTCCGATGTCGGAAAATCATGGACAGGCTATTCTGATGTCGGAAAATCACGGACTGGCTATTCCGATGTCGGAAAATCACGGACTTGCTATTCCTATGTCGGAACTGGCTATTAGAATACCATGAAGTAGGAAGTGGCGATGTGAAAAACTATAAGAACCAAATCGTATTTGTGATAAGTTTTAACATGAAGCTGTTTCTACTTTAAAAATATTTTTGTATCGTAAAGTTTTTTTTAAAAATAAGATTTTTATCAAGTGTCTTAACGTTAATTTTATTTCATGTACAAGTAAATATCTTTAACTGATACATTTAATAAAAACTGGAATATATTTGCTATACCAATCATTGTACCTTAAATGTAGAAAACCCTCTTACCTATCGTTGTAACACATATTTGTGTGAACATTTTATGGTCAATATGAATGTAGATTTATTATTTGCTTATAGACCCAGAACCATTTTTGTAAGATTTAATACTTTTACGTGTTTGATATATTATGCAAGTTTTAATTAGAATAAAATTGAATGGTTTTAGAAACTCGACATTCGAATGCTAGTGTACTATTTATTGAAGTTAGACCGCCTTTATTAAAGTTTTATTAGTGAAACTGTCTCTTTATTTGTAGCGCTGTTCGTTCTGTTTCCAAGACTAGTGGAGACTATTTGCGCGACTTTTGTTGATTATTTGAGTTTACTAGTTGGTGCGACGATTGTGCAGTGTTGATGGTAGTGATTATGGTGAAATTCCAGCTTTTATTATTGAGAGTAGAAAGATGTTAGTGTAATATGGTATTGTTATGTATGCGTAATCAAAATTAATGTGTATAAACCTAATTAGTCTGGTAAAATATGTGCAATATGTGTTTCATTTAGTGCTATTTTAGCGCATCTTTTGACTTTATTTATTTGTGAGGCGTTTACTAGATCATGACAAAGCCTAGTGCAATATTTGTATGTGATGTTGTTTAGTTTCCAATGACTCTATTGAGGCTATTTCCACAACTTAACAAAGCCTAGTGCAATATTTGTTTTATTTAGTGATGGTATTTAGCTCATTGTTTAACGTTTTATAGCAGTGAGGCTATTTCCACATCTTAACAAAGCCTAGTGCAATATTTGTTTTATTTAGTGATGGTATTTAGCTCTTTGTTTAACGTTTTATATCGGTGAGGCTATTTCCATATCTTAACATAGCCCAGTGCAATATTTACTTTAATTAGTATAATTGTGTCATAATTACTTTATACTTCATTTACTTGCCTGCATTCTCCAATCAACAATTTGCTTTAAAATGGTCTATAATATTTTTTTCGTGTATTCCAGATTTTTATATTCTATACTTGTCTATTATGTAATGTAATTCAGTTTATACATCTCAAACATAATTTGCATACCTAAGACGGTCTACACCAGGATAACAATCTCTATTTCCTTCATGTACTGATTGTATTAAGATATATAGCATTTATATCATTTTTTTTAACTTCGTGTTTGATGGCTACTCCACCTAGGCCTCTCAACTACATTATCTGCACATGTCATTTGTACATAGATGTACATGTCACTTGTACATCAGGTGTTTTCATTGATTGCCCAGGCTAACATAATGCCCAGAATGGCACAATGCCCAGAATGGCATGATGCCTAGAATGGCATGATGCCCAAGATAGCATGATGCTCAGACTGATATAATGCCCAGAATGGCACAATGCCCAGCCTGGTGGGATGTTCAGTCTGGGCGAGTAGCTCACCTGGTCTCAATGATTATCTGAGAACCTCTGAACTTACCTAGTCCCCCCCCCCCCCTCCTTCCCCCTTAATCCACACGTACTTACTGTCCTAATCTATCAAGCCTCAGAATCTTACTCTACAATAAAAAACATCCACACTATTTTGTTTTTGTATTTTTCTTTCTGATCTCAGTAAAAATATTAAATTTAAGTAAAAAGCTTAAATTTTAATTGGTTTTATCCTCCAATTACATACCTAAAAATAATCTTTGGGTTTTAAGTTGTCAATTTTAATTAACCGGACGAAACATTATGAAATAATCAATAAGAAAGACATAAATATAAAAGAGGTTTAATAAACATTTTATTTGTTTTCGAGTCTTTCGTGTGATTTTATACAAATTTGTTTAAATATTATGCAATACAAAAAAAATTAATAGTTTAATGCAAATGATGTAATAGAAACAAGAACGGCAATAAATAAATTATATTGAAGCTATCAGCGAGTGACCTCCCTTACTGTGATCATTTCCCGCGTCATGAGCCTCAGGAAAAAAAACTTTTCCTAGACAAACTCCATCTTTCTCAGTCTTCTAAACATTTATTTCCTTTCTAAACTATTTTTAAAATCTTAGAGGGTTAAAATTTATTGTAAAATCTCCATAACTTGCTGTTTTTAAAATTTCTAAAAAAAATGTTAATAATTACGATAGCTTAGCAATATTCGAAAAACATACTTTTCACTATATTAATTGAAAAAAAACAATTTTAAGTAATTAGTTTTATTATTTTAAATTTACATGAATTCAGATTGTGTTCGTGCGCACTGAAGATTTTTAAAACTACATCCAAAAACCTAAAGATATTGAAGAATATCTTCAAATATCACAGAAAAATGTACCTGAAGTAGATCTATATTGCACATTAACATTCAGTCTCTTGATTCAAGAGACAATCAAAGTATGGATAGTAAAAAATGTTACATAATGATCATCAACGATGTATCATTGTTGTACTTTCGTAAATACTGTTTGTATTTATTTTCTAAGCATTAGCTCATTATATTATTTAGTTGTTAAAATATTATAATTTACAATTTGAAAGCCATATTTTAAATACCCGTTAAATATTGAACGCTATTCAATAAAAAATAATTGACATAAAACTCAGATTTAAAAAAAATGATGAACTTGGAAGGCCGTATCATTCTTATGCCATCACAAGTTTTGTGTTTGGTCGTTTTGAGAATAAAATACATGACAAGACTGACGGACAACTTGATTAAGTAATGTTGAAATATGTGATGTTTATACTATTGATATGTTAATGTTATATTGATAGTGGGATTGTGTGGTAGTAGCAGTAGTTTTTAGTGATGGATGATTAAGACAGAGTTGCAGTTATGTTACATAAGAGATACTATAGTGATGGTACTTTAGTGATGTTTGATACTACCTATATTATTAAGACGTGAGGATTGGCTTAAATGATACAAACGAGATCATAATGTTAAGATATGTTCATTTATCAGTCTAATGTAAGGTCGGTAACACACGAATCTTAAAGAATAAAGTATTCACCAGTCTAATGTAAGGTCGGTAACCCACGAATCTTGAAGAATAAAGTATTCACCAGTCTAATGTAAGGTCGGTAACCCACGAATCTTGAAGAGCGTGAAGGCGAAGATAAAAGCACCGACTGAGTAGGCTCCCATGAGGATAAAGTTGCGCGTCATGTTGTCAAGGGCGTTCGGGTAGTAGAGCTTGATGAAGTCATTTCCGGTCTCAATACACGCTTGATCTGGGGAGCCATGTTAAAAATTATTTTTTTTAAAAGGTAACCCTAACCCATTGTGTGAGCACTTTAAGACCAGAGTGGACGTCATCAATAAAGGTTTTTAAATACTAACGATGTACTAGAAATTTTGACCGTTAGGTTAATTTTCAACGGGAAATTAAAAAAAAACACCACTAGTCAGTATCCTAAATAAGAATTTTTTTTTAGCTTTAAAATATGCTCCATCCTATATTTGTAATTGAATTAACTAGTAACTAACATAGCTTTACTTTAATACAACTAGGGTTAAGTTTATATGTAGTATGGGGTTATGAGTATGTTCTGGTAGTAATATAGTAGTACTGAATATATATTGTGTTTGTCTATAAAACTAACTTTAAGTTACAGATACTTCCTATACTAGCATCTGTCTGTTTTGAGTCACACATTATCTTTTAGGGTCTGCTTAGAGTAACAAGTCATTTTTCTGTCTAGTCAGAGTCACACCTTACCTGTCTAGTCAGTCACACCTTACCTGTCTCAGAGTCAAACCTTACCCTCTAGTTGAGTTAAGCCTTATCTAAGAGTCACACCTTACCTGTCTAATAAAGAGCTACACCTTACCTGTCTAATAGAGTCAAACTTTACCTAAGATTCACACCTTACCTGTCTAAAAGTCGCAACTTACCTGTCTAAGAGTCACAACTTACCTGTCAAAGAATCACACCTTACCTGTCAAAGAATCACACCTTACCTGTCTAATTGAGTCAAACCTTACCTAAGAGTCACAACTTACCTGTCTGCTTGGAGTCACATTCAAACTTGAGTCCCTGGAACTCATTGCCCACAATGATCTCCGTGGAGTATTTGTGTATGGCCACAAACCCCGCCCACTGCAGAACCTGCGGCATGTTCTCCACGGTCCTACAACATCAACAACATTAACATCAATATTAACATCAACATCAACAACATCAAGACCATCAACATCAAAAACATTAACATCAAAAACATTAACATAATATTCAACAACATCAACAAAAGCATCAACAACATCAACAACAACATCCATCAACAACAACAAAAACAATAACAACAGCAACAACATCAGCAACAACATCAGCTACAGCATCAAGATCAACATAAAAACATCATCATTAACAACAACATCTACAACATCAACATAACGCCATCATCAAAAACAACATAAACATCATCAACAAAAAAAACAGCAACAAAATCATCAACATGAATATCAAGAACATCATTAACAACAATAACATCAACAACATCAACATCAACAACATCATCATAAAAAAAAACTTTTCACCATGCCTTTTTTTTTTCTAAAATAAAAATAAAAGTCCCCCTAAGAATTAAAGACAATTATAAACGCTCATGCGATCTAGGTACGTGAAAGATTACTGTGAGATTCCATAGAGTCGAACACTATACTTTAGGACTAACTATTGTACTCTACCAATGAACAACGCCGTTATAAATTACCCAGTAGCAAATCTATTTAACGACAAATTTACTTATTTAAATTAGAAATATACATAGATATCACTTTTTAATCAGCTCTGTTAAAAGTTAAATTATTAATATATATATATATATATATATATATATATATATATATATATATATATATATATATATATATATATATATATATATATTATATATTATATATTATATATTTATATAGGTATATATATGTATATATATATATAAATAATATATATATATATATATATATATATATATATATATATATATATATATATATATATATATATATATATATATATGTAAGTATTCATAATTTAAAAACAAACAAAAATAAATAAAATAATAAAATAATAAAATAAAACAAACTTCCACCAGACCTGAGAACCCCTGAGGCCACCAGACCAGAGGCCGACATGATCAAGGCCGTCGTGTTGTTGGCCAGCTGAGAATTCCAGAACACGCCCAGGACACCCACGGTCATCATCTCACCGAACTGGGTCAGCATGACACAGACCAGGATGAACGACCCGAACCGGACCAGGTCGTCGTTCATGCCGGCAATCCTACAACGTCGAGACAGAAAGGTTATAATTATTTTTACTTGAAGGGCTATTTCCCTTTACTAATTATTTAGATTTCTAGAGTTATGTCCCCTGATATCAAGGCTCTAGGTCGTCGTTCATGCCTGCAATCCTAAAACGTCGAGACCGAAAGGTTATTTTTATCTTTAGTGAAGACTTACTGCCCTTTACTAATTATTTAGATTACTAGAGTTATGTACCATGATATCAAGTATTAACAATACCTTACCAGTACAAAGCCGCGGAGAAGATGGTACTACAGATGATGTTGAAGGGCAGGCAGTGGACGTAGTATGCGGCGAGGAATGTGAAGGTGGAGTAGAGTCCGTCATAACACTCACGGTAGAATAAGCTCCTTAGTACTGGGACTGGATGAAAGGGATGGGTGAGAGAGACATTCAAATGTCGAGATATACTACACAATGTTCGAGGGGAAAATGGTCAGATGAACAACACCAAGAAAGAAATATAACAGCACGTAAAACTCAAAAACACGTATTTTTGATGCACTCACTAACATATAATATTTAGACAGAACACGTTGAAATACATTAATATATATAACGTGATCATACAATTATGATCAGATAATTAATTTTAAATATCTTGAAACTTTTATCTGCCTTTATATTTGGTATTTTGGACATTGGCTTTGTATCTTTTAATTCCTTTTTTTAATATATAAATTAAAGTAAAAATATAAAAACCAACAAAAAATTAAAATAAATCAATAAAACTAATAGGGAAAAATGGATATACTTAATTTAAAAAAAAATTGCTTAAAAAGAAAATTAACAAATAGCTGATTGCTCAGAACATTAGACAAAAAGATTGTCACATCGTTACAAAAAAAGCGATAGAACAACTGCCACCCACGCAAGTTCAACACCCTAAATCTACCACCTACATAACGCGATCCCATTGACGATCCCCAGGTAGGGTGGGACCTGTGTGGCCTGGTAGATAACGCCCAGCCTGTCCTGTATACTGCCCTGGTTGTAGCCGAGCTTGCCCAGGAACATCAGGATGAAGGGCACGAAGAAGGGCAGCAGCAGGAACCGGCCGAGGAAGGCACTGCGATCTCGCCAGAGGTGCACGTTCATGCGTCTAAAAATAGAACAATATTACATTTAGTTTTTTCTCAGTACTTGCAAAGCTTTTGGTTTTTCCATGCTTAATATAACTTAAGTATACAAAAATATCATAGTGTGAATATATAAAGAAAAATATGACAACAATATATTTTAGAATGATTTTTAGGTTTACAGATGAATTTGATTCCACTATCGAGTTACCTTGCATACATTATATTTAACTTTATTTGGACGATTACTAGAACTTTTGAATAATGATTCGCAAAGTATAGAAGGTTTAATGTGTTGTATGTTTTGTTTTTAAACCATTTTGTTATTCTAAAAATATGTTAAAAGGATGTTATGTTGAAATTTGGATTCCTTCAACTTTTTATAAATTAAATTTCTATTTTACAAAGATTGTCATGTGGTCAGCGCTCTGTCCAGCCACCTTTGGTTCCCTACAGTCTGAATCGGATCCTAATTCGTGACCTTAGGGCTAACAGCCAAACGCTCTACCGTTCGACCACGCCGATGGAATTGCAAAATTTTTTTTTAAAAAATTATAAAATACACCGAAATGATGTTTTAAATGTATGCTAAGTATGTAAACGTCCGACATTTTATACACATGCTACATACGTCAGCAGACAGGTGAACGTCCTTGACCACGACGGCCGGTCGTCCACTCCTGCCTCCTCCAGCTCGTCGTACACCTCGGAGTAGGGTCGGGCCAGACCGGATGTGATGCGCTTCAGTATTCCCGTCTGCAGATCCGAGTTGGCGAAAGCTGCGCAAAGTTTGTGCGCGCGTGACAACGTTTTCTTTTCCTGTGACGGCGTCCGTCTGTCAACACTCGTGACGTCAACTGGGAATCCCCGATAAGATAAAAAAAGAAACGGATTTTCATTTCAAGGGATTTAGGGAAAAATATTGGTTTGAATTTGTTTTGAACTTCCAATTTGTGTTACGTTTGAATTTCTGGAGTTCTATGTATAGAGTTGGTGGTTTGTGCAGTTTCCCAAACCGACAACCAAAATTACCAGGCGGGTGCTGAGGTGAAACTCTCAAAAAGTGCAAAAAAGGTTGAACAAGCAAAACCTGGCGACTAGACGTTAAAGCGGAAACAAAAAAAGATGGTTTACATCTGGAGTCAGGTTGGTAAGATAGCACATGACAGGGGACTCAAGATCTATGGTTGGCGGCCCATACCCATCAGGACAGAGGACTATAGAGATCTTTGGTTGGCGGCCCATACCCCACAATGTTTCTTCCAGACTTTTTCTCGGGGGATGGGGGGGGGGGGCAATTAAAATTTCCGGGAGGGGGGGCGGTAGACTTTTTCCGGGGGGGGGGCAGACACTGTTAAAAGTATATATTTCCAATATAAATTTCGTTGGGGGGGGGGGGGCGGTAGAAGCCCCCCCCCCCCCCCCCCCGAAGAGATGCCTGGAAGAAGCTCTGATACCCCATCAGGACAGAGGACTATGGAGATCTTTAGTTGACGGCCCATACCCCATCAGGGGGGACGGGCAGTGATGATGATGTATAGAGGAGATTGACAGATTTTTTATCGTAGTAGGAGAACGAAAGGCTTTTGCTGTTTACTTACTGTAAACGTCACATGGGTTCTGGTTATTGGGGCAGGGGTACCCAATGTTCGTGAAGTACGGAACAATCTGGTTCGGCCGTCCGAGGAAGGCCAATTGGCCAACTGTCAGAATGGCCACCTTGTCAAGCAGGTTGAAAATGTCAGAACGAGGCTGGTGGATGGACATGATGACTAGCTTCCCCTTGTGAGCGATGTCGGCTAAACTGGCCACCAGGTGGCGCGCCGTGAAGGAGTCTAGACCGGAAGTGGGCTCATCAAGCAGCAGAATGTCTGCAAGTATTACATTCGTTAAAGTTTTTTTTAAATCATGGGATTGCAAAGGAATAGTTTCTGCTTAAAAAATAAATGTATTTATAAAAACAAATCTCGCATAAAATGACACGTTTGGGTGGATAATATGTGGAACTGATTCGTCTGACGTGTGGTCAGCTAGAAATCCGCCCCTTAGCTTATGTGAGTATTCCTGGTTCAAATCCTGGGGCAGAAAAGATGGATAAGTAAGTCAACCATGTCCTGGGTTAACAGGAGCTCAATACCTGAATGTGTACTGGTCTACAACACCTGGATCTCAGAGTAGCTAAAAGACTCGAATCTCTGAGTAGCTAAATTACTCGAAGCTCTGAGTAGCTAAAATACCCGAATCTCTGAGTAGCTAAAATACCTGGATCTTCGAAGAGCTAAACTACCTGGATCTTTGAGGAGCTAAACTACCTGGATCTTCGAAGAGCTAAACTACCTGGATCTTTGAGGAGCTAAACTACCTGGATTTTTGAGGAGCTAAACTACCTGGATTTTTGAGGAGCTAAACTACCTGGATTTTTGAGGAGCTAAACTACCTGGATTTTTGAGGAGCTAAACTACCTGGATCTTTGTTTAGCTAACATACCTGGATCTTTGAGGAGCTGCACGCCAATGGTGATCCTCCTCTTCTCTCCCCCAGACACGCCCCTGATCACAGCGCCACCTATCCTGTTATCAGCCACGTGAGTCAGACCCATGTCTCGTATAACTGATTCGACCTGCGAACACATTTTCAGTTTAACATTTCTGATCGAACTAATTCAAAATAAGAATAGACTTTACTATTCATTTTATCTGCAATTAACTGACAGTGCGAAAACGTTTAGTTTTTTAAAATTAATTTTAAAAACGAACCCCCCCCCCCTCCCTCTACATTCACTGACCCCCAAATTCTAAACGTTATACTGAACACCCCCCCCCCAACCTGTCACCGATTATTCTGACTGATATAAAAGATCATTTGTATAATGCAGAAGTTCTTTAATAATGGAATCTTTAGTAGTTACAGTTTATATATAGGTGAGATCAATACATCTATTTATACTTCACCTTGGCCTCGATTTCAGACTCTGTCGTGTAGCCCGGCAGCTTGAGGTAGGCCATGTAGGTCAAGGTCTCTCTCACGGTCAAGGTCGGCAGCAGCCGGTCGGCCTGCAGCACGTAGCTGGCCTTCTGCATCATCGTGTCGCGCGTGCACTGCTCCTGCTTGTACGTCACCACGCCGGTGACGTCACCTTGGGCCCTGCCGGAAATGACGTCAAGCAGGGATGTTTTGCCCGAGCCTGCGGTGTGAGAAAACAAAATCTCACACAGATATAATACAAGCAGAGTTTATTCCAGCAGGCATCCCCCCGAAAAATGTATACCGTCCCCCTCCCCCTCCAACGAAATTGAATTTATATAGAAAATATATACTTTAACTAGTGTCTGCCCCGCCGGAAATTTTAGTTCGCCCCCTCTGGAAGAAACACTGGATACAGGGACTGTTACAAAACGTTAGTGTTAGCAATACGAGAGTGACCCAGATGTTAACGTTATAGATCTAGGTCCAACTCAACAGCCAACTAACCCTAACAACCAAGTCATAACTTGTGCTTTTAACTGATTTTAACTGAAGCCTATAGGGATGTGTAGTGTAGGCCTACTAAGTCTCTAATCCTAATCAGTGTTTCTTTCAGACGTTTTTGAATTTTTTTTTTTTGGGGGGGGGGGGGGGAGGACTAATTTTCGTAAGTTATGTGCGGATGTTCAGTGTTACCCTACTAGATACGTCATGAGCGATGACCGTCTGTTTTTGACATCTAGTTAAAAACCAACGAATACACTTGTTTTGACTTCTTTATTTTTTAAATCACATATTTTTCTCCCCCCCCCCCCCTTCCCTATCTACATCACGCCCTTTGTTTTAATTAAAGACTGACTGTGACCACATTGAGACATCTATACAAAAAAAAAGCAAATGTTCGTACAATAAACCAAAAACGAGGCTAGAGAGAAACACAACTGACCGGAACTGCCGACCAGCGCCGTGAGCTCCCCGCTGGCAAAACTCATGCACAGGTTGTTGAGCACGTGCTTCTTCCGGGCTTTTCTCAGACAACTTCCGTTCCACCAATGGCCGACCTTCTCTTTCACCTGGAAAACATGGCGGATTTTGTATGCTTTGTTAAATATGGATGCGAACATGTTTTATGTAGGGTGGTGATGGTGGTAGTGGTAGAAGGTGGTGCATGGTGGTGGATGGTGGTGGATGGTGGTGGAAGGTGGTGGATGGTGGTGAATGGTGGTGGGTGGTGGTGGATGGTGGTGGATGGTGATGGGTGGTGGTGGTGGATGGTTGTGATGGTGGTGATGGTGGATGGATGGTTAAAATAGACACGTGGAACAAGAGAGATGGGTTATAAATATAATGAGTGGATATTAAAAAAGAATGTGTCATAAAGCATCTTCTGGACTAAGAAAGCCTTATATTGAGCCTGGTGATGTTAAGTCTAGGATATCTACAACTGTCACCTTTAGTCGAGAGCCTCCCACTTCCCCCACTGTGTTCTTAGCTCCCCCCCCCAACCACCCTAAGGTCTATCTTTCTCTTAAATCTTAAGAAACCCCGGAGGTAGAGATAACAATAAACAAGTTATTTATATTTATTATAATTCATTATCGCAGTCAATAGTTAAATTTTAACTAGTAACAAGTAAAAGATTCCCCGGAATTCCCAGCGGTCTAAAATTAGCCAAGAATTGTTACTCACTGTGTACGACAATCCTATGACGTTTAACGTTGTCTCCGGTGAACACTGCCCAAAAACTACTGGTGACGTCGGTGTCGTGGGGGAGCCGAGCCCGGGGGTCAGTTGCCCGGATCTGGGTGACCGCAGGGTGACGTGCGCCCCATTGGGTGAGCCCGGGCTCTGCACCCCCGATTTGGGATAGATCTCCGCGTCGGATTCGTTCCCGAAACTTCCGTACCGTCCGTTCGCTTTCTCGAAATCACGCGATGAACTCGCCTCATCCTTCGACAACAACGTCTGCTTGTCCGTGTCCATGGTCCACACAAACTGACCACTGGTCAGCGAAAATGTATCCCCCCTAAAATCTACCACCCGCTATCGTTTACCACTGGATCCAACACATGTTTACAAATAACATACAGACGGCGTTTACCACTGTAGCTTCGTTCTCTGGTCCTAGATCTACACGGGCAGTTATCACATGGCCCTGTGTGTGTGTGTATGTGTCACCACTAGTCCTAGTTCTACACTATTTGTGTGTGTGTGTGTCGCCATGTGTAACTAGTTATATAAGTACCTTAGTACCACTCCAGTGATAACATAACATATAACTGTAGAGTGACGTGTTACAGATTTAGGGTATAACTGATAGCTACAGATTTAGTGTACATGCATGTTGAAATGTGATATTAAAACACTCACACAAACATTCACACATGTATATGAATATAACATGTATATATGTATATATATATAGATTATTATAGATATAGATACAGGTACAGGTACAGATATGCTGAATTTAATTATATTGCTATTAAAAATATCAACAACTCCTTAACTGAATTACATAGTGTGGTCGGCACTATGCCAATACGCCTTTCTCCCACTAACGCATGTTAGGTACCCAACAGAGCTGGGTGGACTCATTGGCATAGTACTGACTTGAATCCGGATTCGAACTCGAGACTTTCAGGTAGCAGTCTAGCGTTCTACCTCTAGGCAAAGCCATCACATAGGTGCACAATAGGGTTAAATAATATTTGACAATTTCGTTCAAATTGATTGAGATTTTTGTTATAGTGTAGTCTTTTGCTTTTGTTCCATTATGTGTTTTCTCTAAAAACAAGGTAATTAAAAAGTCTTGTGACAATTTAAGCGCAATTTCCTTATGTTATCTAAAAATAGCTCTGTCGTAGCGTAAATCAAGAGCAGGGTTAGTAAAACCATTGGTTAGTTATTAAAACGTTTTTTATTAAAAAAAATTTCAGTATTTTACATGTTTTATTTACAATAGAGTTACATGACTAAAACCATTGCGCGCCTAGCTACTGAACGTGATGACGCAGCCATTGAACGTGATGGCGCAGCTATTGAACGTGATGACGCGTGTGGTGTGGTTGGAAAAAATGCCTACTAAATCGGTTCAAATTTTAATTAATTAAAAAAAATGTTTGTGACCGAACGAAAGGATATTTTTGAAAACTTTCTTCGGCAATATTGGTCTAAATTATGGCATGAATCGATTGGTACATTTTTCAAGTCGCTAAGTGGTCTGGTTGCCGAGATAGGGGCCAAAAACTGATTTTTTTCGAGGTTTTTTGGCTTTTCCGGGAAATCCATGAAAGAAACCCGGAATTTTTATGGCCTATGTTCATTCTCGTAACTTGCTTAACATAATTGTTTTTGGAACTAGTCATCGATATTGCTTCGTTGAGGAGGAGATACGACTTAAAGCCCGGACACACATTCATACATCCATACATTCATTCATCCATTCATTCATCCATCCATTCCCAGAAATGACGAGTTAATAAACGCAATTCTCCAGAATGGAAATTGCGCTAAAAATATACTTAGCAGTTTAATAAAGCTTGCTGGACACAATGGCAGATTCTGCACACGGCGCCAAGGGCGAGGTCTTGCTTCTGTTGCCTTCACACCTATCCCATTCAATACTATCCCATCCCATCCTATGCTATCCAATCCAATCCCATCCTATCCCACCCTATCCCACCTTATCCCATCCAATCCCACCCTATCCCATCCAATCCCATCCTATCCCATCCAATCCCACCCTATCCCATCCAATCCCACCCTATCCCACCCTATCCCACCTTATCCCATCCAATCCCACCCTATCCCATCCAATCCCACCCTATCCCATCCAATCCCATCCTATCCCACCTTATCCCACACTATCCCATCCTATCCTATTCAATCCCACCCTATCCCACCTTATCCAACCCTATCCCATCCAATCCCATCCTATCCCACCTTATCCCACACTATCCCATCCTATCCTATTCAATCCCACCCTATCCCACCTTATCCAACCCTATCCCATCCAATCCCATCCTATCCCACCTTATCCCACCCTATCCCATCCTATCCTATTAAATCCCATCCTATCCCACCCTATCCCCCCTCCCCCCCCCCCCCCCCGCCACCACCTATGATTGACGTCTGTCATTGTGTACAACATAAAAAACCACTGACACTGACAACAGTACATTTGTCATACACCAAACACTATCACCAGCCGCCAGATACACCCCCGTTATCTAACATCGATTCCGTTGATGTTTGGATCGATCATCGATCTTTCACTGACCCAGGCCCACGTGCCAGAAAAATGTCCTTCAGATGTCCTGCAGATGTCCTACCCTACTTAAAAGACAACCCAGACAGTGTTTACATATATATATATATATATATATATATATATATATATATATATATATATATATATATATATATATATATATATATATATATATATAAGCATTGTATGTAGCGGTGTCTACTTATGTATACGTGGGTATGTGAGTGTGTATGACTGAGAATATGAGGTAACGTATGAGTGTGTTTTGACTAATATCTAATTACCAATCTAATCAGTTACGCAATCAGTCTAGCCAGATAGCATCAGAAGTGATGAAGTCACGACCAGACAGTTTCGTTTCTTGTGTGACGGTTCGTGTTTTTAAATGTCTGACGGTTTGAGTTTTTAAATGTCTGACGGTTCGTGTTTTTAAATGTTTGACGGTTCGTGTTTTTAAATGTCATTGTCCACACAACCCCTATGGTGCCCTGGTCATTTTCTTATTCACATATCTTGGTTTTTACAATGCCGTTTTGAATCATTCTGATCAAACACCTGTATGATGGTTTCAGTAACTCAGCCCAGCAGTATGACGTGTCTACTAACACGCCTGTGACGCTTCAATTAGATTATAACACACCTGTATGACGTGTCAAGTTACTTAACACACCTGTATGACGTGTCCAGTAGATGTTAACACACATCTTGTATTTTTGTTAACAATTTTAAATCACTTTGTTTACATTTTAACAACAGCGGAAGCAACTTTTGTAAAAAAAAAAGTGACAGATTTAATAAAAGAGTTTAAATTTGGTTTTATAAAAATAATCTATCTGGCAATTTCTTTAATACCTCATTTGCACTCAACTTAAACACCTAACTTATTAGCGTAAATTATAGTTGATGAACTTAATTGAATTGTAGTTAAAACAGAGCATTACACATAAAAATAGACCTACTTAATTAAACTTGTTTTGAGTAACTATAGTTATGTATACTTTGGAAACAATATTTATTTAACAATATTTATTTAGCATTAATTAAACCAAATCGGAAGATTATCTGTACATTGCTGAAGTATTTTAAGAGGTATTTTATTTTTAGAGGGTTCGGGTTCGTGGTTTTTAGTTGTTTTAAACTTAAAATAAAAAAGTACTTTACATGGTTTCATAGTTTATCATGATGTGATTGCATATCGTGAAAAATGGTTGTTATCACGCTGCTGTACAAAACGTCGAGAACACTATATTTGTGAAAAATGGTTGTTATCACGCTTATGTACTTAACGTTGAGTACACAATAATTGCATTATTCTCAGGTCAGAGAAACCGAAATGTTCGACTTGACCAGTCTCATGATGCTTCTATAGTCAGGCTGTGGGGAGTGACTAAAAAGTAACATTGGAGTGGATCAAGCAACTTTTTCAACACCATATAAGAGCTGTACGGCGATTTAAAACTCTAAGTACATGACTTACATTAGGGAATATAAATGTAGCTGGACAAAGCGCTGACAACACTATCGCCTCATAAGCCGAAGTCACAAAAACGGATGAACTCTACTTCACCTGCCTTGGGTCCAAAAAGTGAACTTAATTTTTTTTATTACAGCGGTCTACAACTAAGCAAATACCGATTTAAAAAAAAAATGGAATGTGATGTTTTTATTAAAAGCAAAATTTTTTTTATCAATTATTACCCCCTTGCTAACATGGTTAAAAGGTTTCAGCCCAGCAATTATCCCTCTTGTCACCATGGTTACAAGATTTAAAACTGAACGAAGACCTCCGACCCCCATCCTCTCCCAGCCTACCCGACAAAGAGTTTACAATCAACACTCCACCCTATAACGTAGCTTGAACTGGGGATGGGGGGTGGGGGGGGAGGTGGTCACACAAAAGTCGGAGTGGAAACTTTAATAAACATTTCCAAGCTAAAATAATAAAACAAGCCAGTTTGTTAATTTTTATAAAAATATTTCTAATAAAAGATTCGTAGATAATCGCTATTCTGTCTATACTTATGCATGTATACATTAAGTATTTTCTCTGAATCATCAACATGGGGATAACATTTTATAGACGCAGTTACTTTCGATCATTACTTCTTAGCCATACCACCCTGAGCACCCCCCCCCCCAGATGAAAAAAGAAAGATGTATAATTTATATAGAAGATATTTACTTTAACCAATGTCAGTTCCCGGAAATTTAAGTGCGCCCCCACCCCACACAGTTTCAAGTGCCCAACCAGTGTTTCTTCCAGACTTTTTTCTCCGGAGGGGCACTTGATATTTTCGTGGGGGGGGGGGGGCATTTTCCTGGGGGACAGACACTGGTTAAAGTATATGTTTTTGATATAAATTCCATTTCGTTCGGGGGGGGGGTAGACTTTCTTCGGGAAGTGGGGGTGGAGCCCCCCTCAAAGAGATGCCTGGAAGAAATTCTGTGCCCAACCCCCCGGGGAGAAATCTCTTGAAGAAACACTGGAGTCTGATCTAGACAAAATGGACTACCTGTCCAGATCAAGACACTGCGTAGTTGTGTCTATTGCGACGGTTCTCACTTGATTGTTTTGAACCCTCCGACGTTAGCAGTTGTGTCTGTTTCAGCAGGCCAATGGTTCAACATTACATGCGTGTGTACTGTGACGTGTATGTATTGGTGGTCTGGGTGTTAGTAGATGTGTGGGTTGTGTGTTTGTTGCTGTGTTATAGGCGTGTATCTATTCTAGCGTGGTCAAGGGTGTAAGCTAGCGTGATCCTGGGTGTAAGCGGTCCTAGGTGTAAGCTAGCATGGTCCTTTGTGTAAGCTAGCGTGGTCCTTTGTGTAAGCTAGCGTGGTCCTTTGTGTAAGCTAGCGTGGTCCTTTGTGTAAGCTAGCGTGGTCCTTTGTGTAAGCTAGCGTGGTCCTTTGTGTAAGCTAGCGTGGTCCTTTGTGTAAGCTAGCGTGATCAGGGTTAAGCTAGCGCGGTCAATGGTGTAAGCTAGCGTGGTCCTTTGTGTAAGCTAGCGTGGTCCTTTGTGTAAGCTAGCGTGGTCCTTTGTATAAGCTAGCGTGATCAGGGTGTAAGCTAGCGCGGTCAAGGGTGTAAGCTAGCGTGGTCCTTTGTGTAAGCTAGCGTGGTCCTTTGTGTAAGCTAGCGTGGTCCTTTGTGTAAGCTAGCGTGGTCCTTTGTGTAAGCTAGCGTGGTCCTTTGTGTAAGCTAGCATGGCCATATGTGTAAGCTAGCGTGGTATTAGGTGTAAGCTAGCGTGGTCCTGCGTGTAAGCTAGTGTGGTCCTTGATGTAAGCTAGCGTGGTCCTGCGTGTAAGCTAGCGTGGTCGTTGATGTAAGCAAGCGTGGTCCTAGGTGTAATCTAGTGTGGTCCTGTGTGTAAGCTAGCGGAATCCTTGGTGTAATCTAGCGTGGTCCTGTGTGTAAACTAGCGTGGTCCTGGGTGTAAGCTAGCGTGCCCTATGTGTAAGCTAGCGCGTACGCCAACGGGTCTGAAAGCGTTCCTATGTGTGTATGCTAGTGCTGATGTGTATGCTAGTGTGCTGATGTGTGTATGCTATTGCTGATGTGTGTATGCTACCGTTCTTGTGTGTGTATGCTAGTGCTGATGTGTGTATGCTAGTGTTATGATGTGTGTATGCTAGTGTTCTGATGTGTGTATTCTACCGTTCTTGTGTGTGTATGCTAGTGCTGATGTGTGTATGCTAGTGTTCTGATGTTTGTACACTAGCGTGCTGATGTGTGTATGCTAGTGCTGATGTGAGTATGCTACCGTTCTTATGCTAACATTCTTATGTGTGTATACTGTACTTCTTTAAAATCAACACAAAACCAACAGCGTCACCGTATTTATTTATCGACCTTACACTACCCCTCACCTCACCCAACCCAATCCCTCACCAACCCCTCACCTCATCCAACCCAACCCCTCACCTCATCCAACCCAACCCCTCACCCATCCTTATACCTAATCCACTCATCCACCCCACCTACTCTAGCTCATCCATTCCCCATTTCCATCCCCACCCCCATCACTTACAGATCATTTATGACCACCCACCCCTTATCACCACCCACCCCTTATTACCATCTCTTCCCCATCTCCAACCAACCCCAACCAATCCCCCATCCCCACCCACACCATCCATTTATCCGCCATCCACTTCAGATTACAAAGACCAGTTACCTATCACGTGACCATTCCATTCATCCAACAACCTATGGTTCTCCCAACACGATGTATCGACACATCTGATTGGTGTGTCTACCGCAATAATTGTTTTTTAAAAAACTCACACTTTTGGGATCATGCAAATATGATACGAAACAAAACATGGGGCATTGATGACTTCATATAAATCCGGTACAACAATTGCATATATCACCTCTTCTGTTATATATATAGGGGTGTTTATTTCATAGGCACTGTCGTAATATAAAATTACTTGACGACACCAACCCTTTCATTCCATAATATAACACAGTATAATCAAAATGTAAAATCTGTACTCTATCCTTCCGAATTACAGGGTTACGATATCCGGTAATTAGAATGGATCTTTTAAAGCCTATGCAATGATTTGGTGTCGAGATGCAGTGGCGTAGGCAGGGGGGGGGGTAGGGGGTCATACCCCCCATAGACCCCTCGGTATATATATATAGTATGAGGGGGGTGTAAATCGAAAGTTTGAGGGAGGGGTGGTGCAAATCGAAAGTTTGTCCCCGGGTAAAAATTTGAACCCCCCCCCCCCCCCCATGAGACGATCCTGGCTACGCTACTGGCGAGATGCTAAGGGTGGTTGCTGTTGTTGTTGTTGTCGTATCAACGTTGATGTTGTTTGGTATCAGTCAGTTTTACCGAGCATAATTTAATAGCAAGAAATGCCTTTAAATGATATTTTAATTTAGGTTAACTTTAAATGATATTTTCATTTGGTTTAACTTTAAATGATATTTTAATTTAGGTTCAATTTACATGATATTTTAATGTTGGTTAAAATATCATTTCAATTGAACCTAAATTAAAATATTTAAAGTGAATTTAGGTTAAGGGTAAACGTGTGACTTCGGCTATGGATTGAATTAGGTTTGGGCGATACTTGCAAGGCTAATCTATAGGTCTAGCTCATTTATGTCCCCACCCACCCTCCTCTACCCCCACATATCACCACTTCACCTCCCCGCCCAAGTCTTGTCACCTGTGTTTCAAGAACCCCCCTCCCCTCCCCTCCCTACTCACCCATCCAAGCAATCGTGTACAGCTAATATCTCCACACACTAACAAAAAAAAAAATCATGATAAAAATACTTTCCACCGCCCCTCTCCCCACCTCCTTCACACAGCCTCGAACCCACGACTCTCCGTGTCTCCCCCCTGACACCACTACTGTGCCCACGCTGTCTGCGTTGTTTTATTTTTAAATTGTGTCAACTTCACGCCTGAGTGAGGACGACACCCACCACTGTGTCCGACCTTAGCAACATGGCCGCGATGTACTTGGATGCTGAACTCACATTTCAACTTGTCTGACCCGAAGGTAAGCGTCAGTGTAATGTCTTTAGCTTCTTGTACGTCCGTGTGTTCTAGGTGTGTGGTTTTACAATAACACGTTTAATTAAACAGGTTGATTCAGTAATTAAGTAGTTTAATTTAATTGCAGACGCGTAATTAAGACATTAAGTTTAACAGCAGACACGTAAAAACGACAACGAGATAATGTACACATTATATGTGATTCGAAATAGTGGAGAAATATTGATATAGTATATTCTTCATCTTAAAATCATTGCATTTCTTTAGAATAATTTTGTATTGATTGTTTTGCTTTAGCCTTCTTAAAATGACAGTAGATCTATACCTTAAAATACAAAGCATTTGAAATGCCTGTAAAAGTTTATTTTAATAACCTGCTTTTCCGACGTACAGTGTTGAATAGTCCAGAAACAGTTTTGCACACAGTAAAACTTTTTTTCTGTGTTAAATATATAGATCTGCTGTAATTTCAAACGCCTGCCTTTTAAAAAAATAGATCTACAGTCATTTCAATTGCATTGCATTTAAAAAACAAATTTAGAGACAGATATTATTAGACAGTCATGTTGCAGACATTATGTAGCAGATTAAGAAACAGACGTTATTACACACGTTTTATGTTACAGAGACGTTACTAAATTTAAACTTTGAACACATCGCGTACCAAAAATAAATCTAAGAATTTGTAGATAGAAACAACTGTGATTGTGATTGACGGAGTTCTCGACACTTTATCAATACAAATCACCATCGTCAAATGTTGGTTTTGGTTTGGTTTTTAAAAAAAAATGTAACTATAAACCCCAATTCTATTTTTAGAAATGGCTGCCAACGTCGGTGTCACCACACGTCTGCGAGCCAAAAAGGCCCGCGAGCTACTCGGTCGTCATGGCAACGCCGCCACCGGCAGCAACCTGAGCAGGCGGAAGTCCAAAGACGTCCTGGCCAACATTGACGAGGAGAACGCCGAGCTGGGCGCATGCGGCGCCGCCTACAACCGCCGCTCCTTCCCCCTGGAGCACGAGAGCGACGCGTGGAGCCGCGAGAACGACAAGACCTCCAAGACCGAGTCCACGGCCAAGCAGTTCAAGCAGGTTGTCGCCCTTTGTTGGTTTTACTTTGATTAGAGTTACGTTCTCTTGTCCTGCCGTGATCAGGGGTACCATGTAGAAGAATTGGTGGTTCAGTCCCTCATTTAGATCAGTGCTTCTTTCAGACTTTTTTCTTCCGGGGGGGGGGGGGGGAATTTTCGGGGTGGGGGGAAGGATGGACACTGGTAAAAGTATATATCTTCTATATAAATTGTATTTCATTCGAGAAGCTTAGGGGGTGTGGGAATGAGGGGGGAGGGGGTGTCGTGCTTTGAGAGAAAAAAAAGGGAGGCGGGGGTGTTGATCCCACGAACAGATGCCTGAAAGAAAGTGCTTAAATTACATATTTTCTTTTTTTCTTCATTCTTCATTGTAAGGAATATTGTAAGGGATCTCTCCCCCCCCCCCCCCCCAACACATTTAAGTATTACGTCAAGTTATACACAATATGTCCCCTTGAATTCAGCCTTTTCTTTTTGTATTTGTTTCTGTAGCCTTTATCCAACCAAGAACTATGTTTGGGTCCGAACTCTGGACCTTTGGAGTTAGCAGTCAGTAGCTCTCCTGCTCGACCATAAAACGTTTCATTTAGGTGTCGGCCATCTAAAATAGTTTGATTTTTTAAAAAAAATGAAAGTGAAATTTTCATTAAATCAGTGGTTCTTAATTTTTTTTGGAGGTACCGAACCCCACCAGTTTCATATGCGTATTCACCGAACCCTCCTTAATAGTTCTATCGTCCGCACTGACAAAATCCGGTCATGAGTCATATGAGTCAGGTGTGTGTCTTGACCTCCACCAAATCCCAGAGACTGACTCAACGGACCTTTGGGGTTCCATTGAGCCAAGGTTAAAAACCACTGCTCTAAACACATGTTTGTGTGTGACTGTGTTTGGGTGTTGCAAGCCTAGTTTTGTTCGTCTGTTCTTTTATTCCTCTCACCTACACACTGCCGTGTATCCGTGTAACACGTTGTTGTTCTCTCCCCTGTCCCGTGTAGAGGCGAACACTGAGCGAGCGAGGGGAGAACACCGCCCGGTACCCTCCTCTTGTGGGTCGTCAGCAGTCACACAGACCCCTGGACCAAGTCACCCCAGCTAAGTCAGGTAAGTCACCCCAGCTAAGTCAGGTAAGTCACCCCAGCTAAGTCAGGTAATACAAGTCATCCCAGCTAAGTCAGGTAATACAAGTCACCCCAGCTAAGTCATGTAATACAAGTCACCCCAGCTAAGTCAGGTAAGTCACCCCAGCTAAGTCATGTAATACAAGTCACCCCAGCTAAGTCAGGTAAGTCACCCCAGCTAAGTCATGTAATACAAGTCACCCCAGCTAAGTCAGGTAAGTCACCCCAGCTAAGTCATGTAATACAAGTCACCCCAGCTAAGTCAGGTAAGTCACCCCAGCTAAGTCATGTAATACAAGTCACCCCAGCTAAGTCAGGTAATACAAGTCAACCCAGCTAAGTCAGGTAATACAAGTCACCCCAGCTATGTCAGGTAAGTCACCCCAGCTATGTCAGGTAAGTCACCCCAGTTAAGTCAGGTAAGTCATCCCAGCTAAGTCAGGTAAGTCACCCCAGCTAAGTCAGGTAATACAAGTCATCCCAGCTAAGTCAGGTAATACAAGTCACCCCAGCTAAGTCAAGTAATACAAGTCACTTCAGTTAAGTCAGGTAATACAAGTCATCCCAGCTAAATCAGGTAATACAAGTCACCCCATCTAAGTCAGGTAATACAAGTCACCTCAGCTAAGTCAGGTAATACAAGTCACCCCATCTAAGTCAGGTAAGTCAGGTAATACAAGTCATCCCATCTAAGTCAGGTAATACAAGTCACCCCATCTAAGTCAGGTAAGTCAGGTAATACAAGTCATCCCATCTAAGTCAGGTAATACAAGTCACCTCATCTAAGTCAGGTAATACAAGTCACCTCATCTAAGTCAGGTAAGTCAGGTAATACAAGTCATCCCATCTAAATCAGGTAATACAAGTCACCCCATCTAAGTCAGGTAATACAAGTCACCCCATCTAAGTCAGGTAATACAAGTCACCTCATCTAAGTCAGGTAATACAAGTCATCCCATCTAAGTCAGGTAATACAAGTCACCCCATCTAAGTCAGGTAAGTCAGGTAATACAAGTCACCCCATCTAAGTCAGGTAATACAAGTCACCTCAGCTAAGTCAGGTAAGTCAGGTAATACAAGTCATCCCAGCTAAGTCATGTAATACAAGTCACCCCATCTAAGTCAGATAATACAAGTCACCCCAGCTAAGTCATGTAATACAAGTCACCCAATACAAGCCACACGAAGTCACTTCCACTAAGTCAGGTAATGAAATCTATTCCAGCTAAGTCATGTAATACAAGTTATCTTACACCTTATAACTAGTCCCATATAAATACAAATGAATCCCACGAGTGTCTCCACCGACATGAAGACTGCAGACAAGGAATCCACCCCCTTACAATAAGTGTTTTTTTCATTCTAGCATTTATTTCAAGACTTAGCACTATTGTCAGGCTCCCGAAGAAATATATAAACTAAGCACTAATTATATAACGCGTACATACTTTTTGTTTTGTTTTTCTAAATCCATGTTCAGGCAGACAGAAAAATGTCGAGGACAGACAAATCTACCAGACAGACTTTAACTCTCTGCAGGTTACAATGTCCACGCCAGGTAAGACCAACAGGAAGTTCTTGTCACTTGTGTCATTGTCACTACTTTCACTTCTCTCCTGGTCATTAGAAGTCCTTGTCATAAATGGACTTGATTGTTCAAAACTTTACACTTCTAAACTGTTCTTTCACTTCTAAACTTTTCAATTCCGAAGTTTTCACTATTACACTAGAAACTTCTGAACTTGTCACTTCTAAAGTTGTCACTTCTAAACTTGTTACTTCTAAAGTTGTCACTTTGAAAGTTGTCACATCTAAAGTTGTCACTTCTAAACTTTGTCACTTCTAAACTTTTCACTTTTGAACTTGCCACTTTTGAACTTGCCACTTTTGAACTTACCACATTTGAACTTAACACTTTTAAACTTGTCACTTCTGAACTTGTCACTTCTAAAGTTGTCACTTTGAAACTTGTCCGTCAAAACTTGTCACATCTGAACTTGTCAATTCTGAAAGAAAGACTTGTCTGTGAGATCTCTGATTTCTACAGTTGGAGTCTCCGCCTTCCCCATGGACACCGACATGGTCAGCGTGTGTGCACTGGCCGGAGACCGACGTCAGCTGCCGGAGGGTGTGTCAGACATTGACCAGTGTCCAGATTCTCTCAGCACCACGGTCTATTCTAAGGAGATAATGGAGTATTTGATGGTGAGGGGGGTTTGGTGGAAGGTCAGGGGTGTTGGGTGGAAGGTCAGGGGTGTTTGGTGAAAGGAAGGTCAGGGATATTTGGTGGAAGGTCAGGGGTGTTGGGTGGAAAGTCAGGGGTGTTTGGTGTTGTATGCATGTCTGGGATACTGCCTACTTGGTGTCAGTCGTGTTATATGGATGTTTGTTTTTATGCGGATATACGTGAGGCTTTCTATATGTCGGGGGGTGTATTCTTTAGGGAAGGGTTTATGTCTTTAGAGCAGGGGTGTTGTCTTTAGGGAAGGGTTTATGTCTTTAAAGCAGGGGTGTTGTCTTTAGACCAGGGGTGTTGTCTTTAGACCAGGGGTGTTGTCTTTAGGGCAGGGTGTTGTCTCTAATTGTTGCGGTTACCTACTGCCTGAGATAACCTGTCTCTTCCATTGACCACACACAAAGCACATGGAGACCAGGGGTGTTCTAGAACCAGGTTTCCTTAACAACAGTCCGGATGTGACGTCACGAATGAGGGGCGTGTTGATGGACTGGCTCCTACAGGTTCAGGTATTCATCACGTGTCTTTCATTTCTTTAATTAGATCAGACATTATTAACTAGGTATGGGTGCCTGTAGTGTACGTCCTAGTGGGAAAAGGGGGGGACGTAACATTTGCGTAAATTTGCTGATAGTTTTTTTAATGAATCAATACTTTTTGAAAAATGGTCGAGTCGGTAGAGCTCATGGTTGCTAAACCGAAAAAGTCGCGAGTTCGAACCCTCGGGCAGATGAGGCTCGTTAGCTGGGGGCAGCCACTCTTCTAGGAGAGACAACTCCAAAATCAAACAACCGCTGCCTTGCAGTTTGGACAAAGGCTATGGAAGCTAATCCAAAAAGAAAAGCAGGCTGAAATTTGAGTCAACGGCCTTAATGGCGCATAACCAGTTGACACGTATACTTAATTGTGTTGGAGGGGATCCCTTCCAACACTAAAATTAAGAACGAAGAAGAAAAAGAAGAAAAATGAACTTCAGAATTCAATTAAACAACAGTTTATTGCTTAATTACATCACCGAAACAACTGTTTGTCCAAGTCTCCTTGTGCGAATAATAGTGACCAGCCAGGATGAAACTCCAGTCATCACCTACGATGCAGTGTCATCATGTATAACAGTGTTCTGGTATATGGTTGTGTAAAGACTAGAGGTGTTCTAGCTTTGTATTTCTTAAAATTTCTTTATTCATCTCAGTTTTTCATAGTAGTTAGCAAATTCACATCCATAACTATATACATTCCCATCACTTCACCCCCCCCCCCCACCCCACCGTGCTGTGTATGAACTCCCACCACTTCCTGTCTCCCCCCCCCCACGGGCCTAGAACCACGAGGAGCTGAAGGACGACACCCTACACATGTGCGTGGACCTCATCGACCGTTTCCTCAGCATCATCAACGTCAAGATGCCCAAACTACAGCTGGTTGGCATCACGAGTCTACTTATTGCCTCAAAGTTCAGCGAGAGATTCGCACCAGAGGTCAGTTCTGTTGGTGTTTATGTGGGTGTTGTGTGGCCGGGGTCATGTCTGTTTGTGTTCATGTGGGTGTGTTGCCGACCCTAGGGTTAGGCTGTTGTGTTCATATTAGTGTTGTGTTGCCGGGGTCAGTTCAGTAGGTGTTTATGTGGGTGTTGTGTTGCCGGGGTCAGTTCATTAGGTGTTTTTGTGGGTGTTGTGTTGCCGGGGTCAGTTCAGTAGGTGTTCATGTGGGTGTTGTCGCGCTAGTGGTCATTTATCTGGTGCTATTCGTGAATACTCCCCCCTCCCTTTTCTTATATGTTAAATTAATAGTGCTCATTTTGGAAAAAAAGGTGTTGCTTCTAAACGTGCAGTTACATAATATATAGTTGAACTTCTTATATGTTAAGGAGCGCTAAATTTGCATGACGACTTTTAGAAAAAAATGTTCTGTTTTCACTAAATTACGACCTTGAAAAAAAACAACTGTTTTGCTCCATAACACTTTCTTGTAACTAAAAATAGATTGTATCCCAGCTTGCAACATTGTTACTAAAAATAGATTGTCCCAGCTCGCAATATTGTTACTAAAAATAGATGACCTATCCCAGATCACCACCCTGTGTTACCTGACAGACAACACCTACGTCAAGGACCAGGTGCTCAGCTACGAGAGGTACATCCTGCAGACCCTCAGGTTCGACCTGACGCGACCTGTCTGTGTCACCTTCTTAGACAGGTATCTGCAGGTTCACCAGCATCCTAAGGAGGTAACTACCAAGGGTAGTATGGTGTGGGGGTCAAGTGGGCGTGGGGTTAACTGGGCCTGGGGGTACTGGGCGTGGGGGTAACTGGGCGTGGGGGTAAAGTTGGCGTGGGGGTAACTGGGCGTGGGGGTAAAGTGGGCGTGGGGGTAACTGGGCGTGGGGGTAACTGGGCGTGGGGGTGACTGGGCGTGGGGGTGACTGGGCGTGGGGGTAAAGTGGGCGTGGGGGTGACTGGGCGTGGGGGTAAAGTGGGCGTGGGGGTAACTGGGCGTGGGGGTAACTGGGCGTGGGGGTGACTGGGCGTGGGGGTGACTGGGCGTGGGGGTAAAGTGGGCGTGGGGGTAACTGGGCGTGGGGGTAACTGGGCGTGGGGGTGACTGGGCGTGGGGGTGACTGGGCGTATTGGTGACTTGGCGTGGGGGTGACTTGGCGTGGGGGTGACTGGGCGTGGGGGTGACTGGGCGTGGGGGTGACTGGGCGTGGGGGTGACTGGGCGTGGGGGTGACTGGGCGTGGGGGTGACTGGGCGTGGGGGTGACTGGGCGTGGGGGTGACTGGGCGTGGGGGTGACTGGGCGTGGGGGTGACTGGGCGTGGGGGTGACTGGGCGTGGGGGTGACTGGGCGTGGGGGTGACTGGGCGTGGGGGTGACTTGGCTTGGGGATAACTGGGCATTTGGCATGGGGGTAACGCGGTGTTAACCAAAGGGGTACCTTGACATGGAAATGACTGGACATGCAGGTAACAGGGCATGGGGGCTACCGGGCATGTGGGTCATAAGGCATGGGGGTAACTTGTCATGAGGATATCTGGGCATGGGGAAAAAAGCATGCATATGTGTAAATAGGCATAAAAAATCTGGGCATTAGGGTAGGTGGTCACGGATATAAGAGCTCATGAAAATAACCAAACTAAGTTAAAATTGGAATGAAGACAACATACAGCTCCTTTTTCTCCTCCCCTCCCCCCCCCCCACCAGGTGGAGTACCAGGCCAGGTACGTGCTGGACCTCAGCGTGTCCAGCATCCACATGGTGCCCGTGCTGCCCTCTCTGAAGGCGGCCAGTGCCCTCTTCCTGGCCAGGCGGATCTGGCTGGATACGGTCGTCACGTGGACGCCGGACTTGGAGTTCTACACCAGCTACACTGGGGAGGACCTGCAGGACACCGTCACGGAGTTGGCCATCATCCTGGTCAAGGCACCCAGCTCCAAGTTCCAGGTGAGTTGGTGTCAAGTTCCAGGTGAGTTGGTGTCAAGTTCCAGGTGAGTGGGTGTCAAGTTCCAGGTGAGTTGGTGTCAAGTTCCAGGTGAGTTGGTGTCAAGTTCCAGGTGAGTTGGTGTCAAGTTCCAGGTGAGTTGGTGTCAAGTTCCAGGTGAGTTGGTGTCAAGTTCCAGGTGAGTGGGTGTCAAGTTCCAGGTGAGTTGGTGTCAAGTTCCAGGTGAGTTGGTGTCAAGTTCCAGGTGAGTTGGTGTCAAGTTCCAGGTGAGTTGGTGTCAAGTTCCAGGTGAGTTGGTGTCAAGTTCCAGGTGAGTGGGTGTCAAGTTCCAGGTGAGTTGGTGTCAAGTTCCAGGTGAGTTGGTGTCAAGTTCCAGGTGAGTTGGTGTCAAGTTCCAGGTGAGTTGGTGTCAAGTTCCAGGTGAGTTGGTGTCAAGTTCCAGGTGAGTTGGTGTCAAGTTCCAGGTGAGTTGGTGTCAAGTTCCAGGTGTGTTGGTGGACAATGACAAGTTCCAGGTGAGTTGGTGGACAATGTCAAGTTTCAGGTGGGTTGGTGGACAATGTCTGACAAGTTTCAGGTGGGTTGTCGGACAATGTCTGACAAGTTCCAGGTGGGTTGGTGTCAAGTTCCAGGTGAGTGGGTGTCAAGTTCCAGGTGAGTTGGTGTCAAGTTCCAGGTGTGTTGGTGGACAATGACAAGTTCCAGGTGAGTTGGTGGACAATGTCAAGTTTCAGGTGGGTTGGTGGACAATGTCTGACAAGTTTCAGGTGAGTTGGTGGATAATGTCAAGTTACAGGTGGGTTGGTGGACAATGTCTGACAAGTTCCAGGTGAGTTGGTGGACAATGACAAATTCCAGGTGAGTTGGTGGACAATGACAAGTTCCAGGTGGGTTGGTGGACAATGTCTGACAAGTTCCAGGTGAGTTGGTGGACAATGACAAATTCCAGGTGAGTTGGTGGACAATGTCTGAAAAGTTCCAGGTGAGTTGGTGGACAATGTCTAGGTGGTGAACATCCTTGTCAAGGCGCCCAGTTCCAGATTTCAGGTGAGTTATTCAACACTGTAATGGAGTAAGTCATTATTCTCACCAAATAAAGCCAATTTTAAAGTTCCAATTAAGCTGTAGGACATTGTATGGACTCCTAACCAGAGTCTGTCGATAAGTAACTACGTGTCTTTTTCACGAGACACCTGAACAATTTGCAACAAAAAAGTGCAACTGTTTTCCTCTGATGTATTCTTGTGTATCTTTAAAAATAAACCGGGAGTGATCTCCCCTAAACTTTCTCGAATATTCTTATATAAAATAACAGGGGATGGGAACTCGGGCTATAGACATGATTTTTAATCCATTTTAAATACTTAAAGTTTTAAAAATAGAATAAAATCTCGTAGACAAATTAATTGCACACCAAGTGAACGCGAATAAAAAAGCGCATAATAGTGCGCAATATTATTAGTACTTTTAAAATTTACATTAGTTTTTTGAGAAATCGGAAGTAGCGTAAATAAGTACTTCCGGTCAACGAAAAATTCTCAAAATTTGACAGAAGGTAGAGAATTAGATCTTTTACTTACATATCATATATACGAGAAAGTAAAAACGTGCATTTTTGTAAAATACTTTTTACTTTCTCGTATATACGTAGTATAGAGAAAGTATTGTAATCGTGCAAAAAAAAAAAAATCGAGATTTTTACAAATCTCGACGTTTTACACCTCACTGATACGGAAAAACATAATTTTGCAATCTTGTCCGTATGTCTGTGTGTGTGTGTGTCTGTCTGTCTGTCTGTCTGTCCGTGTGTAAACACGATAACTTGAGTACCGTTACAGCTAGGTTGATGAAATTTCATATATAAGTATTTTATCAAAATCGTAGATCCGTATCAACTTTTGAGCGATTTCCGACAACCGGAAGTGGTACTTTTTCTACTTTGAATTTTTCAAAAGCCTATAACTTGAGTACTATTTCAGATAGATAAATGAAATTTCACATGTAAGTAAAAGATCTAATTCTCTACCTTCTGTTAAATTTTGAGTAATTTCCGTTGACAGGAAGTAGTAATTTACGCTACTTCCGATTTCTCAAAAAACTAATGTAAATTTTAAAAGTACTAATAATATTGCGCACTATTATGCGCTTTTTTATTTCGCGTTCACTTGGAGTGCAATTAATTTGTCTACGAGATTTTATTCTATTTTTAAAACTTTAAGTATTTAAAATGGATTAAAAATCATGTCTATAGCCCGAGTTCCCATCCCCTGTAATTTTATATAAAAATATTTGAGAAAGTTTAGGGGAGATCACTCCCGGTTTATTTATTATATCTTTGAATCAGGAAGTTAAGTTTTACCTGAAAGACGTCATAGTATCGATGGCCTTGCTTTATTTAAAATGTCCCCTATGTTCTCGTTTAAGTTGTCTAATATTTGACATTATTGTTTTCTCACTCACGCCCAGGGAGCCAGGAACAAATACAACACAGAAGAACATCTTTTCATCAGCCGCTACGACCACGTCAGGGCGCAGATGATAGCCAAGATGGCCTGTTAGATTTATCTCTGGGCAAGTCAGGTTGAACTTTGGCCAATCTTGGCCATCTGGCATGTTAGGTTAATCCCGGGACTATCTAGCATTTAGCTTAACCTCTGGACCATGTTAGGTTAACTTCTGGACAATCAGCCATGTCATGCTGACCTCTGGATAATCTGGCATATTAGGTTGACCTCTGGATAATCTGGCATGTCATGCTGACCTCTGGAAAATCTGGCATGTCATGCTGACCTCTGACACCTGGCTTCTCGTCAGACCGGAAAGAACTCCCAACCTCCAGCTCCGTCTTTCAAAAAATTACTAGTCAACGTGTACAAACTGTCATGTAATTGTAACATCATAAACTGTGATGTAATTGTAACTTTACCCGTAATGCCTTCTTTGTGAATTTCTCCAAGTCAATTCAATGTTTTGATCGAGCAGCCAAAACAATTGTCTGCACGTTCACACCCCCACGTCTACGTCATAACACGCTGACCATTGTGTGGAAACAAACCATACTGTACATATGACATATGACCACCTTGCTGTAAAGTATTTAAAAATTCACTTCTTTTTCAAACCTAACAATGGTGTTTGTTTTTTCTTCATTTGAAAACCGCACGAATCTGTAAGGTGAGGGAACATTTGTGGGGGGGGGGGGGGGGGGGGGGGGGGGAGGGCGGCGACGACTGTTGTACTAAATTAATTTGTGACATGCTTTAATCAACTTTGTAGGCCTACTTACATTTTATAGTTTTTTAAATCATTTTGTATCATTTTTTTGCCTCAGACATGAAATTTACATCGTGTTCTTTTTAGCATTACACTTTTCAACATCGGCTTGAGTAAACTGATACAGATTTACAACAGTAATACTTTTTTTTATTCCAACGTAGCGTGTGAGAAAGTTTCTAGGTGGGGTACAATGTTTTTTTTTAATTGCTTGTGGTTTTTAAATCAATGGATAGCTATTTAATTTAATTGTCCTAATATTTTCCAAATGAACATTAACAGTACAGCTTTTAGTTGGTTTTTTTCATTCTCAGTTATGTTTAAGATAAAATATTTATTTTTGAAAAGTAAATAAAAACCACTGGGAGTTTTGTGCATTACAAGGGAAACAATCGATATTTTGCACAAGTAGGCGTTTATATTATTTCCCCTTACCTATATAACTGGATTTGTATTTGTCATGGGATACAACCGATAGATTGTATTAACACTGTTTCAGTTGTTTCCCTTTAGTAATAAGATGGTAAACATAACTAGATAGTAAAATACGCAATAAATTTAATGCAATATAAACAGTATTAAATACCTAACTTTTAAAGTAAAACCTGAATGTTGTAATGCAGCTGTTTATTCTTTTTAAAAAAGCGTTTCGTTGTAGGAATAGCCTAGTTTAGTCTGACCTGTCATGCTAACATGAAGGATAACAAACTAAATTAAATCTTGGGTTTTACGGATGTTTTATTCATACGAACCTGTCGAAATACGGCATGGGAACTCTGAAATATTGTTACAGTAAAATTTAAAGTAAACATGAAATAACGGTAGAAACCCATACACACAGAACAACGCAGAGCTTTTTTAAAATAATTTATAAATCTATGAATGTGGCATTTAAACGACGAACCCATATGCACATCGACAGAAAGACCTAGCTATAAATACATAAACTTGTAATTCAAGCGAGACATAAGGGATGATGAATCCATATACATGGAGAGAAAGAACGACGTTAAAACAAGGAACACATACACATACATGGAGAACTGTTTATAAATCCATTTACTTGGCATAAACAATTATTTATAAATCCTTGAACTTGACATAAAGGAGAAGAACCCATACACAAATAGAAAGAACGATTAATAATTTCATGAACTTGGCAGAAATAACCTTCTATAAGTCCATGAACTTGGCATCGATACTCCTTATAAATCCATGAACTTGGCATCGGTACTCCCTACAAGTCCATGACCTTGGCATTGATACTCCCTACAAGTCCATGAACTTGGCATCGATACTCCCTATAAGTCCATGAACTTGGCATCGATACTCCCTACAAGTCCATGAACTTGGCATCGATACTCCCTACAAGTCCATGAACTTGGCATCGATGCTCCCTACAAGTCCATGAACTTGGCATCGATACTCCCTACAAGTCCATGAACTTGGCATCGATACTCCCTACAAGTCCATGAACTTGGCATCGATACTCCTGGACTCGATTATCATGATGAGGCCGACGAAGACTTGGAACACGGCCACTACTATGGCCAACGCCCACCCGTACTCCAGGTACTGATTGGGCAGTGAGCTGTCGGTGAAGGACGAGTCGAACCCCACCCCAAACACGATGATGGATACTGTGTAGCTGATGGCTGGAATGGTAGACACAAGGGGGTGGGGGATGGGGGTGGGGGAGATTGATTAAACACATAACAGGCTTAAAGGTTTAATGAAAGATTAATTAATTACATTTGATTGATTTTTATTTTAAAACGTACGCACGACTGTTGATAGCTAGTGAATTATAAAGAAAAATTAATTGGTAGCGTCGCCAAGCCATGTAAGCTATTGTTAGAGTAAAACTAGATTTGATAAACTTTAGCTGAGCTTGAAGTCTCTAAGGGTTTGTGTTAGCTAGTTTATAACATAGGTTAGTGAGCAAGCGAGATGAATGGTGTAGGTATTGGTAACGTTTAACATGGGACAACGTAGTTAAGGCTAGGTTTTGTTGGTATTGCTACGCTGGTCTTAACCTTTGTTGTTAATCCTCACCTCGACCATGTGCTTGCATCTAGGACTAACCCAATCCCTATTCTTAACCCTAGGTTTTACCACATCCCTAATTTTAACCCTAGATTTGACCCCATCCCCAATCTTAACCCTCGATTTGACCCCATCCCCAATCTTAACCCTAGATTTGACCCCATCCCCATTGTTAACCCTAGATTTGACCCCACCCCCAATCTTAACCCTAGATAGATTTGTCCCCACCCCTTATTTTAACCCTAGATTTGTCCCCACCCCCAATCTTAACCCTAGATAGATTTGTCCCCACCCCCAATCTTAACCCTAGATAGATTTGTCCCCACCCCCAATCTTAACCCTAGATAGATTTGTCCCCACCCCCAATCTTAACCCTAGATAGATTTGTCCCCACCCCTTATTTTAACCCTAGATTTGACCTCAGCCCTAATCTTAACACTGAATTTGACCCTATCTCTAATCTTAACCCTAACCGTTAACAATATATCTTACCCCATCCTATATACCAGACGATAACCCTTATGATAACCCTAACCCTAAACCAAGCATAATGATGTTCATATTGTAGACTCGCCAAGACCTTAACCCTCACCCTAAGAAATCTGCAGTAAAAAAACTCAAGCCCAAAAAGATATTGTCAAGTCGGAGTCCTACGGACTCAATTTTACTAAACAGGGACTTAAGTTTTTATACGCGACGTACCTGACCAAAGTCCGATAACCGCCACCCACAGATGGAGTGACTTCCGCTTGTGACAGCTGGGGTTGAACATCAACAAGAGGACAGACAGGAAACAGAAGTTGACGCTCATGAAGCCAAAGATGGAAAACGCTTGCACTGCCCGGTACCATTCTAGAGTTTTGGAATTTTAAAACGTTTATGTACATGACACAATGTCATTTTTTTACTCATGGACAGAGTAATTCATGGACCAAATAACTCAGGACAGTAACTATCAAAAGATTAAACTGTGATTAGTATTAAGAATGCTATTATTTAGGTTAGATTATTGTATGTGCCATGTTATTTTTTAATGTACGTTATCCTTTTAAATTAAATACAAGTACATAGTAGGGTTAAATCTATATTTTTTAAAAAGTCTAAATTTTAACACAGTAAACGCTTTTTCTAAAGTTATATATATATATATATATATATATATACATATATATATATATATATATATATATATATATATATATATATATATATATATATATATATATATATATGTATATATATATATATATATATGTGTGTGTTTGTGTGTGTGTGCGTGTGTGTGTACGACTCACGTAGATTCCAGCCGGTCAAGTTAACACAACCAGATTCAATTTCATCATCACTGCATTCCTTCCACAGCCCGTAACCTTTTTTAATTTTCTTAGTCTTAGTCGCGTCATCCCCGTACCCGTCCCCCCAGGAGGCCGTCACAAAGGACACCCAGGCCAAGGCCATGTTGATGATCAGGATACATGCCGTCACCTGGGGTCGGAGAATCAAAATTTGATCTAGTGGCTTAGGCTAATCACATTTTTTAAACCGCTGATTAGTTAGAGATTGATAATATATCTATTTGTTTATTTGTCCTTTCATAAAACATATAGTTTCTTGACTGCGTCTGATACACACACACACACACACACATATATATATATATATATATATATATATATATATATATATATATATATATATATATATATATATATATATATATATATATATATATATATATATATATATATATATATATATATATATATATATATATATATATATATATATATATATATATATAATATTCTCCCACTTACCTTCAATAGAAGTGAGGAATCTTTAAAACTCTTCACAAACGCCATAGTGAATTCACTTTTTTATCACTTTCATTATTGGTCTACCTCCACTACACACATACATTGGAACACACTAGCTGTTTGTTTACACTGTGCTGTGCGTTGCTACGTCGTGTTGTTGGCGTGTACTTAAATACTCTCCCTGCTGGGGAGGGGAATGAGATTTTTTTTAGGCAGGCCGCTGCGGTCCATTGATTTGCATATAAAAAAGTTGTACAGTCTGGTGCCAATACAAAATCGATTTATACCTAGAGTGTGTTGACTATTGGCAGTGAACGCAATACAATCAAAATACTGTAGCAAAATGTCGGGTACATGCGCTTTAGAAAAAAATGTCGAGCTTCTTGTATATATTGGGTGTAAATTTGATTTCGTAGCGCTGGAAAATGTCGACTAGGTCATGTATCTCTGTAAAATGTCGACTTATGCATGTATTTTTAAAAAAATGTCCACTGTTTTGTTTATTTTTATAAAATGTCGACTTCTGTGCGTATCTGTGTAAAATGTCCACATGCTCTGATTTATGCTAGACAATTTTTATTGTTCTGTTTTTATCAAACTATTTAATGTACACCATTATTTACACAACCACAGCTACACACCCACATAAAAATACCCACATCTACACACCCATATCTACACATCCACATCTAAACACCCACATCTACACACATACACATACACACACATACATCTACACACAAACAAACTAAATTCACATTGCCTTTGAGAAAGGTAAAAATAATTACATTAAAAATCATTTGTTTCGTTATTTGCAAAATTATTATTACGTTTTTTATATAGATCCAAAATTTTGATTTTAAAAACATTGCTAGATCAATACATTTTGTTTTTCCTATAAATAGGAAGTATTGTCAGCATAATGGGGCATTGGTAAAAAGAACTAATTTCCGCTTAAAGCTGTACAATAGCAAAATAACCCTCCATTTAAAAAGAAACCATTAAATTATACTATTTTTGTCTTCTATATCTAAATATAGAATAATAAACAAACCATCGCGTTAATCTCGAAACAAAATGCTTACGACATACACAACAACCGATGACGTCAGAAAAAGCTGGGTTGACGTGAGAAGACCCTCCTTCCCCAGACAAGCAGCTACAGGCGAGCTGATTCGTCTTGGAGATCCTCAAGTGTCGGCTGGAAGTCTGGCCTGATTTCAGGACAACGGTTCCAGAACGAAACGGATATGGCGACCTGTGGCGCGGTGACCCAGCCTCAAATGGCTGGCCCGCCCAACTACGGCAACGTCGAGTATCTAGGTGAGTAGGCGCGTGCATTGTGTGCTCAACTTTACAGTAATACAGGGAGGGGGATGTTTGAAAAGATCAACAATGGTGAACGATATCCAGATCTAGAATCTAGATTTAGATTTAGAATCTAGACTCTAAATACTATGTCTTGATTAAAGTTCGAATTATAACTATTCCAAGTTTTCCTAAACGTTTATAAATTACAATTAATAATTTAACTATCCCAAACTATCCAACACTAAATCTATAGCTAGATCTAGCTAGACCTAGATCTATATAAGTTTCAACACTATGATGGTCTGATTCTGCTGGCTCTATTAGACAACAGAAGCAGAGTTCTTCTGTTTCAATATTATATCGCAAATTACATATCTAGATGAAATAGTCTTGTAGTTTGTAGACTGTCATATCAACTTACAGATAACATAGTCATTTATAGACTATCATAACCTTATTTATAAATTATAAAACACTGCCATAGTCCTAGTAAGCTAGACTGCTAACCCCAAAGTATTGAGTTCGAATCCGGGTTTAAAAAAAAAAAGACGGCTGGGAAAAGTGCTGACCACACTATCCCTACATATTATGCCGAGGTCCCATACATCTTAGGTACGAACGGGAAAAGATGGTGATAGTCCATAGACTAGTTTGAAGTACTAAAACTAGCATCAATTATTTACCTAGAAAAAAGTTATGTACCATATAATCTCTAATAGATCTAGATACAGTTTGTATTTGTTGAAATATTGGTTATCAAAAACTGATAGATCTATTAAAGTCTAATTTTATATCTACTTATCGTTTTGTTTAAACAAATCTGCAAATTATAGCGACCAGGAGTTGAAACTCTAAATGTTAATGATCGATGTTTCAATTAGCATTCAAGATAATCTTTTATTTTTAATCGCTGTTAAAGTCAAGATGTTATAAGTTTCTGTATACAATCGCCGGCAGGAAAATACTGTATCGGTTCAGTTATTTTCTGTGGGCATCATTGTTAGAGAATGAATTAGAGCTAGGGTCTAGGCTAGGTTAAGGATAGGGGTGGGATTATAGTGCATGTACTAGAAACAAACAGTTTTAAATATTTTCTTCACTTGTTTGAGTGAGCACTAGTCATGGTTAGAACAAAGTGTAAACTCAATGATATGGTTAGGCGTACAGATGGTGTCAGTACTAAACTTACAGTGTAGCCTGAGATATATCCATTACTAATCACCCTAATTATCCATCCATAAGTACACTACTTATATATCCATAAGTACCTTACTTATAAATTCATAAGTACCCTACTGGTATATCCATAAGTACTTTACTTTTACATCCACAAGTATCTACTTATACAACCCCTGCTTTGTTTTCATTACCTACAAGTATTCTAACGCTGTTACTTTCTAGAAAAACCCTACTACTCATCATCCTATCTATGTTTTTTGTTACCCTCCCTAGTATTCAATGCTACCTCGTTACTTCTCTTCACCCCCTCCCCACCCCTGATACTCTCCTCTCTCCCACATGATCTACAAATACCTCAATTTACCCCCCCCCCCACCCGCCACCACTGTTGATACACTCTTTTCTCCCCAATATCTACAACTATCTCAAGCTATTCCCCCCTCCCCCCACCACACCCCTGATATACTCTCATCTATCTCCCAGGATCCACAGCTACCTCGAGCTACACCCCTCCACCCCCTTCCCACCCTCTGATACTCTTTCCTCTCTCCCAGGATCCACAGCTACCTCAATCTACTCCCTCCACCCCCTTCCCACCCTCTGATACACTCTCTCCTCTCCCCAGGATCCACAGCTACCTCTAGCACCTTCCCTCCACCCCCACCCTCTGATACACTCTCTCCTCTCTCCCAGGATCCACAGCTACCTCTAGCACCTTCCCTCCACCCCCACCCCCTGATACACTCTCTCCTCCCCCAGGATCCACAGCTACCTCTAGCACCTTCCCTCCACCCCCTCCCCCACCCTCTGACACACTCTCTCCTCTCCCCAGGATCCACAGCTACCTCTAGCACCTTCCCTCCACCCCCTCCCCACCCTCTGATACACTCTCTCCTCTCCCCAGGATCCACAGCTATTTCTAGCACCTTCCCTCCACCCCCTCCCCCTGATACACTCTCTCCTCTCTTCCAGGATCAACAGCTACCTCTAGCACCTTCCCTCAAACCCCTTCCCACTCTCTGAGACACTCTCTCTTCTCCCCCAGGATCCACAGCTACCTCTAGCACCTTCCCTTCACCCCCTCCCCCACCCCCTGATACACTCTCTCCTCTCTCCCAGGATCCACAGCTACCTCGAGCTACCCCCTCCACCCCCACCCCCTGATACACTCTCTCCTCTCTCCCGGGATCCACAGCTATCTCAATCTACACCCCTCCCCCCACCCCCTGATACACTCTCTCCTCTCTCCCAGGATCCACAGCTACCTCAATCTACACCCCTCCACCCCCACCCTCTGATACACTCTCTCCTCTCTCCCAGGATCCACAGCTACCTCTAGCACCTTCCCTCCCCCCACCCCCTGATACACTCTCTCTTCTCTCCCAGGATCCACAGCTACCTCTAGCACCTTCCCTCCACCCACCCCCACCCCCTGATACACTCTCTCCTCTCCCCCAAGATCCACAGCTACCTCTAGCACCTTCCCTCCACCCCCACCCCCTGATACACTCTCTCCTCTCCCCCAAGATCCACAGCTACCTCTAGCACCTTCCCTCCACCCCCACCCCCTGATACACTCTCTCCTCTCCCCAGGATCCACAGCTACCTCTAGCACCTTCCCTCCACCCCCACCCCCTAATACACTCTCTCCTCCCCCCAGGATCCACAGCTACCTCTAGCACCTTCCCTCCACCCACCCCCACCCCCTGATACACTCTCTCCTTCCCCCAGGATCCACAGCTACCTCTAGCACCTTCCCTCCACCCACCCCCACCCCCTGATACACTCTCTCCTCCCCCCAGGATCCACAGCTACCTCTAGCTACATGGCCGGCCCCCGTCAAGCCGTTCAGTTCACCCAGCTGCCAACCATTGGCACCATGCAGAACCAGTACAAGACCTACGACACGTACCCGGCACCCTCGCCCATGCGGCGGTCTCTGACCACGTTACCATGGCGACCAAGTACTTACTACCAGTCGGCAAAGGTGAGTTGTTAAACTTTAACTTATATATCACTTGTTATATCATGGTTTATATACTGTTTAGGATGTGAAGAGAAGGGCCGTGTGAAGGTCATTTGGTACTAGTAAAACTTCCGGTTGAGGGTATCAAAGGTATGTTGTTGTTTTTTTGCTGATATATGTTCCTGATATCAAGGCCGTGTCATACAATAACCATGGTCCTAATATCTGTCCCTAACCCTTATTATATTTCTAACCCTGGCTTTAAACCTGATCTAAAACTTCAGCTTTACCTTCTCTACAGCCCTAATCGTTATCCCAACTCTGAGTCTAAGCTAAACCAAAATACTTGCACTGTCCTGGTGATTCTTATCCTAAACCTAACCCTAAACTTGACCCTACCCTGACCCTAACAACATCAAAAGTACCCACTCAAAATACAAATTTGACAGGAAACTTACGTACGTTAAATGCGGACTTAGCTACATTTATACACATATAGACATATAAACGACACATACAACAGCTGAATGTGTAGAAATGTTGAACTTACGTTAAAAACGGTTTTAGCTACATTTATACACATATAGACATATAAACGACACATACAAAAGCTGAATGTGTAGAAATGTTGAACTCACGTTAAAAACTGTTTTAGCTACATGTATACACATATAGACATATAAACGACACATACAGCAGCTGAATGTATAGACATGCTGATGTACACATCCACCCCAGGTCAACCCGTGCTCTGCTATCACCCGAAGCATGCCCGACCCCATGTCAGCCAGAACTCAACTCTCAGAGCTTGACAGTCTCAAGGTGCCGCCCGTCTTCGCCGCTGCCAGAAACGCCCTGTACACCCGCTTCACCCCCAACGACTGGATGGCCTCCAACCAGGGGAACTACCTGGCCTCAGACAGGGTCCGTGGGGGGTCGGAGCGGCTGCGGATGGACACGATGCGGCTGTGTAAGGAGTATGATGACAAGACCAAACGCACGCAGGCCGATGTCGGGAAAAGATTGGGCGAAAGAATTGGTGAGTCGGGTCGTGCTGAGTCGGCGTGTGTGGGTGTGTGGGGGGGGGGGGGGCTGTCATTCATTGTTAGACTCAGCGCTAAATTTGGGTTGTAATAAAATGGGGGGGGGGGGGAGTCATGTTTTGATCGAAACGTCAGTGTTGTGCTATAAAGTTGGGAGGGGGGGGGGTAATGTTTTAATTTCAAGACTCAAACCAGTGCTTGTATTGCTTGCAAAGAACGTTGGTAAAGCTGGCCGGAGGGGAGGGGGTGTTAAAAATAAACTCTGCTGAGTTGCGTTGAAATGTTTTGATGTCGGACTATGTTTTAACAGTTTAAATAATTAGAATAGATTTTGACATGCAACTTTTTATACGTGTTAAAATCATCACAGCATTGACATGGAAGAAGTTTTGGTTAGGATCACTTAAGTAAACTTTTTGATCCTTTGTCTTTATTTGATGAGCATGCTATTCTAGAATGTATAGTTCGTGGGGCTTAAATCTATGTTAACAGTTTTTGCAAAAAGCGTAGATGAAATGAAATAATGTTTTCAGTGATGTAGATATGGGACGATGTGAACGAGGCCTAGTGTGTTCCATCCCGGCATTTTCTCCTATAGTTTTCTGTAAAGGACACAAACTTACTTCAAAATGTGTACTGGTGATGTAACTGGGTGCCTTGATGTTTAATACAACTGCCTGTTCGCATCTAGTTGATACTCTCTCACCCTCTCCTACCTCTCCTTACCTCTCCCTACTTCTCCCTGCCTCTCCAGGCGACATCAACTTCTGGAAGACCGAGCTGAACCACGAGCTGGAGCTGATGATCACAGAGACCAACGCCCTGAACGAGGCCAAGAGAATCCTGGAGAAAAACCTGGCAGAGACGGAGAATCCCCTGCACATAGCCCAGGAGTGTCTGTATAACAGGTGTGGTGTTGGGCTTGTTATATGCATGACATAGAGTAGTGGTGGGCTTGTTAAATGTATGACATGGGCAGTTGGTGGGCTTGTTAAATGTATGACATGGGCAGTTGGTGGGCTTGTTAAATGTATGACATAGGCAGTTGGTGGGCTTGTTATATGCATGACATAGAGTAGTGGTGGGCTTGTTAAATGTATGACATGGGCAGTTGGTGGGCTTGTTAAATGTATGACATGGGCAGTTGGTGGGCTTGTTAAATGTATGACATAGGGTAGTGGTGGGCTTGTTAAATGTATGACATGTGTTCTTGGTGGGCTTGTTAAATGTGTGACATGGGTTGTTGGTGGGCTTGTTATATGTATGCCATGGACAGTTGATGGGCTTGTTAAATATATGATATAGGGCATCTAGTGGACGTGTTACATTTATGACATAGGGCAGTTAGAACAAATGATAGTTTCTTTAAAACTGAGAGATTTGTTTCCTTAATTAGTAGCTTACAAATTTTGATCCATGCAGAAATTAGCTAATTATTGTGGCTATGTCGTTGTGGCACTGATTAAATACGAGTGTCTGTCGTTAGTGAATGAACTCATGTTTCCAATATCTGCTCACATCGTCTAGGGAGAAACGCCAGTCTATTGACCTCGTACATGATAAACCAGAGAAGGAACTGATCAGAGAAGTCGACCTGATCAAACGGTGCCAGGAGAGGATGAGGAACACGATCGACAGGTAACACTAGCATGGCGTGGTCAAAGACAGGTAACACTAGCATGACGTGGTCAAAGACAGGTAACACTAGCATGACGTGGTCAAAGACAGGTAACACTAACATGACGTGGTTAAAGACAGGTAACACTAACATGACGTGGTCAAAGACAGGTAACACTAGCATGACGTGGTCAAAGACAGGTAACACTAGCATGACGTGGTCAAAGACAGGTAACACTAGCATGACGTGGTCAAAGACAGGTAACACTAGCATGACGTGGTCAAAGACAGGTAACACTAGCATGACGTGGTCAAAGACAGGTAACACTAGCATGACGTGGTCAAAGACAGGTAACACTTGCGTGGTCAAAGACAGGTAACACTAGCATGACGTGGTCAAAGACAGGTAACACTAGCATGACGTGGTCAAAGACAGGTAACACTAGCATGGCGTGGCCAAAGACAGGTAACACTAGCATGGCGTGGTCAAAGACAGGTAACACTTGCGTGACGTGGTCAAAGACAGGTAACACTAGCATGACGTGGTCAAAGACAGGTAACACTAGCATGACGTGGTCAAAGACAGGTAACACTTGCGTGGTCAAAGACAGGTAACACTAACATGGCGTGGTCAAAGACAGGTAACACTTGCGTGGTCAAAGACAGGTAACACTAGCATGGCGTGGTCAAAGACAGGTAACACTTGCGTGGTCAAAGACAGGTAACACTAGCATGGCGTGGTCAAAGACAGGTAACACTAGCATGACGTGGTCAAAGACAGGTAACACTAGCATGGCGTGGTCAAAGACAGGTAACACTAGCATGACGTGGTCAAAGACAGGTAACACTAGCATGGCGTGGTCAAAGACAGGTAACACTAGCATGGCGTGGTCAAAGACAGGTAACACTAGCATGGCGTGGTCAAAGACAGGTAACACTAGCATGACGTGGTCAAAGACAGGTAACACTAGCATGACGTGGTCAAAGACAGGTAACACTAGCATGACGTGGTCAAAGACAGGTAACACTTGCGTGGTCAAAGACAGGTAACACTAGCATGGCGTGGTCAAAGACAGGTAACACTTGCGTGGTCAAAGACAGGTAACACTAGCATGACGTGGTCAAAGACAGGTAACACTAGCATGACGCGGTCAAAAACAGGTAACACTAGCATGACGTGGTCAAAGACAGGTAACACTAGCATGGCGTGGTCAAAGACAGGCAACACAAGCATGGCGTGCTCAAAGACAGGTAACACTTGCGTGGTCAAAGACAGGTAACACTAACATGACGTGGTCAAAGACAGGTAACACTAGCATGGCGTGGTCAAAGACAGGTAACACTAGCATGACGTGGTCAAAGACAGGTAACACTAACATGACGTGGTCAAAGACAGGTAACACTTGCGTGGTCAAAGACAGGTAACACTAGCATGACGTGGTCAAAGACAGGTAACACTAACATGACGTGGTCAAAGGCGGGTAACACTAGCATGACGTGGTTAAAGGCGGGTAACACTAGCATGGCGTGGTCAAAGACAGGTAACACTAACATGACGTGGTTAAAGACAGGTAACACTAACATGACGTGGCCAAAGACAGGTAACACTAACATGACGTGGTCAAAGACAGGTAACACTAGCATGACGTAGTCAAAGACAGGTAACACTAGCATGACGTGGTCAAAGACAGGTAACACTAGCATGGCGTGGTCAAAGACAGGTAACACTAGCATGGCGTGGTCAAAGACAGGTAACACAAGCATGGCGTGCTCAAAGACAGGTAACACTTGCGTGGTCAAAGATAGGTAACACTAACATGACGTGGTCAAAGACAGGTAACACTAGCATGGCGTGGTCAAAGACAGGTAACACTAGCATGACGTGGTCAAAGACAGGTAACACTAACATGACGTGGTCAAAGACAGGTAACACTTGCGTGGTCAAAGACAGGTAACACTAGCATGACGTGGTCAAAGACAGGTAACACTAACATGACGTGGTCAAAGGCGGGTAACACTAGCATGACGTGGTCAAAGGCGGGTAACACTAGCATGGCGTGGTCAAAGACAGGTAACACTAACATGACGTGGTTAAAGACAGGTAACACTAACATGACGTGGCCAAAGACAGGTAACACTAACATGACGTGGTCAAAGTCAGGTAACTAGCATGGCGTGGTCGAGACGAGAGTGGTAGGTAGATTACCCCACACCCGTAATCAAATTCGCCTTTTAACCCATAAGTCAATGAAATTGAGTGTCAAATTAAAGTAGCTCTGTCGAACCTAGCGGTCCATAGGACATAAAGTAGGGTTGATCTGTTTCTGTAACCTTGGCTAATGAAGGGATAGTGTGGTCAGCACTATGTCCTTTACTTTCCCTAACTGGGTGGACACGAGCCCGGGGTCCGAACTACAAACTTTCGGGTTAGCAATCGTGCGCTCTAACATCCAACCACGCCAAGTAGTGTAAGAAAAAGCCTTGGGATAAAAAAAAAAACTCAGGTCCCAACAGATAGCAGCATGTGGTAGAGAAAAGTTCGGTCCCCACCCTGTTGACATTTCTCCTTGTAACTGGGAGAAATATGTTTTACTGCACGGGTAGTGCACAATAATGTGATATCGCTTTAATACCCTGCCTCCATCTCACGCCTAACGTCACATGTTGTCACAAAAAAAAAGACACCCCCATCCCACCCCCACTCCCAACACACACAAAAACGTTACAATTCCATGAAATAATTAAAGCTATAACCCATTTTTTTTTTATCTTGGTTATTTTCATTTTAATAAGCTCAACCACTGAACAACGTTCGACAAGAAATACATTTAATTATATATATATATATATATATATATATATATATATATATATATATATATATATATATATATATATATATATATATATATATATATATATATATATATATATATATATATATATTACAGGCTAATTACCGTAGGAAAAAAAAGCAATAAAATAAATGTTATCCTTGACTAATCTGGCACTTCCGGTCCACCTTTCAGAGCGAACGTCCAGCTTGGCCTGAACAGAGCAGCACAGCACGAGCTAGAGAGAGACTCCGGGGACAAATTCATTGCCGAGAACCTGGACACGACCACCCACTCCTTGAGGAACACCAGCCGCGGCATTGCCTACCACGACGGTGTTCACAGGATTGACAACACGATCAGCGTGCCGGAGACGTGGGCCAAGTGAGTTGGTGACGTCATTGTCTGGGTGATGTGGGTCAGGTTGACCTCGGTGTCTCTGTGATGTGGGTCAAGTTGACCTCTGTCTGTGTGACTTGGGTCAATTTGACCTCGGTGTCTGTCTGATGTGGGCCAAGCAGGTACACCAATGTCGATATATTCCCTTATATAGGTACACCAATGACAATATTATATATTCCCTATATAGGTACACCAATGACAATATATTCCCTTATATTGGTACACCAATGACAATGTATTCCCTTATATAGGTACACCAATGACAATATATTCCCTTATATAGGTACACCAATGACAATATATTCCTCAATATAGGTACACCAATGACAATATATTCCCTTATATAGGTTCACCAATGACAATATATTCCCTTATATATGTACACCAATGACAATATATTCCTTTATACAGGTACACCAATGACAATATTCCCTTATATATGTACACCAATGACAATATATTCCCATATACAGGTACACCTATGACAATATATTCCCTTATATAGGTACACCAATGACAATATATTCCCTTATATAGGTACACCAATGACAATATATTCCTCAATATAGGTACACCAATGACAATATATTCCCTTATATATGTACACCAATGACAATATATTCCTCAATATATGTACACCAATGACAATATATTCCTCAATATAGGTACACCAATGACAATATATTCCCTTATATAGGTACACCAATGACAATATATTCCCTATATAGGTACACCAATGACAATACATTCCCTTATATAGGTACACCAATGACAATATATTCCCTTATATAGGTACACCAATGACAATATATTCCCTTATATAGGTACACCAATGACAATATCCAGCGCTCACAGTCTGAGAGGTTGGCCTCTAAAAACATGAGAAGTGAGATAGAGAGCGTCATCAACACGTGCAACAACGAGATGTGGATGGTGAGTTAATGTAGTTCGGTGGATTTGTTTAGTGCTCAACATTTTAACATATGGGGCTCGGGGGAGGGTGGGGGTGGTGTTCATAGATTACGTCACTTAGGACAAAGGTAGAGAAGGTTCCAGTATATCTGACGATATGTTAAGTAGGAGAGGAAGGTACAGGTAAAGTAACAGGGTTAATTATGTATTAGCAAGAAGAAAAAAATTCCCGTTAAGTTTTATTGTAGCTCGTGTTATTTTTAGCAAGGTTAGAACAGCATTATTACGTCATTATAGGTGGGTCTGGCTATTTGTATTGTTATGCAACCAGAAAGATAAAAGTAGTAATTTCAGTTGTCTGAAGTCATTTATGATCAGCTCGTTAAAGAGAAAAATCATAGACCAAATACGCTACCGAATAATATTCACAGGCATCAAAACAGTGCCTGTGTTTCATTGGAGCACTTTAGCTTTATTTTATTGCACCTAGCTTGGACTTAAGTCAAAGTGTTAATTTCTGTCTTGATTTTAATTCAACTCAGCTCGTGTTAAACATTACTACATCACTCATCAAGTTTTTAACTAATCACATAGTAGTCAGCATGCAATAAACCAATGTCTCTAAACTGAAACATCTGGCATCGCAGGAATGGAACGCCGTCAACACCGCCCTGTGCCACCGCATCCAGGAGACGACCGATGCCAGGAATAAGATCCAGCTGCATCTCAACAGGACGCTCCAGGAGATCTTCGACATGGAGAAGAACATCGAGCTTCTCAAGAAGTCGATTCAGGATAAGGAGGCGCCGATGCAGGTGGGTTGGTTACATCGTAAGGCCAGGATACAGGGAGTGGTTATGTTGGGGCGCATGCGCACTCGCGGGGATTCTATTAGTTGTCTCAACGTAGCTCAGTAAAATTAGGGTGTAATATTTATTTTAGGGCGCATGCGCACTCACGGGGATTCTATTAGTTGTCTCAACGTAGCTCAGTAAAATTAGGGTGTAATATTTATTTTAGGGCACATGCACACTAACGTGATTTTATAAGCTGTCTCAGTATAGCGCAGTTGAATTATGGTGTAATATTTATTTTAGGGCGCATATGCACTAACGGGATTCTATAAGCTGTCTCAGTATAGCGCTGTAAAATTATGGTGTAATATTTATTTTAGGGCGCATATGCACTAACGGGATTCTATTAGCTGTCTCAACGTAGCGCAGTAAAATTATGGTGTAATATTTATTTTAGGGCGCATATGCACTAACGGGATTCTATTAGCTGTCTCAACGTAGTGCAGTAAAATTATGGTGTAATATTTAATTTAGGGCGCATATGCACTAACGGGATTCTATTAGCTGTCTCAACGTAGTGCAGTAAAATTATGGTGTAATATTTATTTTAGGGCTAATGTGCACTAATGGGGATTGTGTGAGCTCTCCCTATAAGCACAGTTAAATTCTGGTGTAGTATTTTATTTTGGGAATAATGCGCACTAAAAATTTGCGATTTGCAACTGATTGTTTTGATAAAGGGTCGGTGCACATTGCGAGTTACAATCGAATTGTTAGGTAAAGTGTCGGTGCACATCGCAATTTACAACCGAATGGGTAGTTATAGGTCGAGTACTCGACGTTGATATATGAACGTTTATCCCTTGATGTGTTACTTGTTTCTCCTCCCTCCCCCCTCAGATTGCTCAGATTTTAATGTCATACTTGTTTCTCCCCCCCCCCCTCTCCCTTAATGTTGCCCAGACCTTAATGTGATACGTGTTTCTTTACCCCCCCCCCCTTTATATTGCCCAGACCTTAATGTCTTACTTGTATCCACCCCCCCCCCCCCTCAGATTCCTAAGACCTTAATGTAATACTTGTATCCACCCCCCAGGTGGCCCAGACCCGGCTCGACACCCGGCTCCGGCGGCCCAACGTGGAGCTGTGCCGTGACGCCGCCCACAACCGGCTGGTGGAGGAGGTGGGGGAGATCACGGACACTGTGGACCACCTGCAGCACAAACTGCGTGAGGCCGAGAACGCCCTGCAGGCCCTCCTGCGGACCAAGGGCGCCCTGGAGCAGGACCTCTCCATCAAGAACACCACCCTGTTCATCGACCGCGAGAAGTGCATGGCCATGAGAAAAACTTTCCCCATGGCCCCGCGACTGGTGGCCGTGGGTTGATGGCCGCTGTCTGTTTTGTCTATTTCGAGAAAAATAAAATATTGATTCATAACTATTATTCTAAATTTCTATTTCTTCAACTAGCATCTGGTTTCAAACCTCCCTATAGACATTAAATTGAAGATACACCAGGTGTTTGTTTTTTCAATTTAAAATGTCGACTAATCCCACAAAAAAGCTCCTAATGTTAACACATATAAAAATTCATAATGTTTTCAATGAAAGATGAATAAAGCTCAAGAATGACGAATGTGTTTTTTTCAGTTTCCGTTAGAAAAAAATTATCCCCAAGTTGCCAAATATGCTAGCTTAAATTTGGCAAGTTGCCTATTCTGTTAAGAAGACTCCACTAGTCAATATTTATCAACAACAATCACAAACCTGAAATGTTAGTAGGAGTTGATGTAAGCATAAAGTATTTTAGTCTCTCTGACATTTAAAATATCAAAGAGGTGAGTTTTGTAGGCGAAAAAAAATGACTTCTCAAACGTGAATACTTATCAGGAAAAACCTTAGTGTTAGAAATATTTCAGTTGGTCATCTCCTTAGACTCATATAGTGTGACGACATATTTAGAAATATGACCCATAAAGAAATAGTGTGTTTGTCACAAATTTAGAAATGTGAACCCATCTGGGCCTTATGTATGTCGTTGTGACAAATATATGTGTTGATTTAGATCATTGACTGGTGTTTGCGTCCTTGTGAGAACAATGAAACTTCTTAGAATGTATTGGAAAAAAAACAGTACTAAAATCAGATGCATACAATCTAGGTACAGTAAAAATGATGGACATGTTGTACAATAGCAGATGGTTAGTCAAACTTCGTATTGTCTTATTGTGGGTAGGTCTATGTTGTATACCATTGTCATTTGTGGTAGGTCTATGTTGTATACCAGTGTCATTTGTGGGTAGGTCTATGTTGTATACCAGTGTCATTTGTGGGTAGGTCTATGTTGTATACCAGTGTCATTTGTGGGTAGGTCTATGTTGTATACCAGTGTCATTTGTGGGTAGGTCTATGTTGTATACCAGTGTCATTTGTGGGTAGGTCTATGTTGTATACCAGTGTCATTTGTGGGTAGGTCTATGTTGTATACCAGTGTCATTTGTGGGTAGGTCTATGTTGTATACCAGTGTCATTTGTGGGTAGGTCTATGTTGTATACCATTGTCATTTGTGGGTAGGTCTATGTTGTATACCAGTGTCATTTGTGGGTAGGTCTATGTTGTATACCAGTATCATTTGTGTGTGGGTAGGTCTATGTTGTATACCAGTGTCATTTGTGGGTAGGTCTACGTTGTAAACCCGTGTCATTTGTGTGTGGGTAGGTCTATGTTGTATACCATTGTCATTTGTGGGTAGGTCTATGTTGTATACCAGTGTCATTTGTGGGTAGGTCTATGTTGTATACCAGTGTCATTTGTGGGTAGGTCTATGTTGTATACCAGTGTCATTTGTGGGTAGGTCTATGTTGTATACCAGTGTCATTTGTGGGTAGGTCTATGTTGTATACCAGTGTCATTTGTGGGTAGGTCTATGTTGTATACCAGTGTCATTTGTGGGTAGGTCTATGTTGTATACCAGTGTCATTTGTGGGTAGGTCTATGTTGTATACCAGTGTCATTTGTGGGTAGGTCTATGTTGTATACCAGTGTCATTTGTGGGTAGGTCTATGTTGTATACCATTGTCATTTGTGGGTAGGTCTATGTTGTATACCAGTATCATTTGTGGGTAGGTCTATGTTGTATACCAGTGTCATTTGTGGGTAGGTCTATGTTGTATACCAGTATCATTTGTGTGTGGGTAGGTCTATGTTGTATACCAGTGTCATTTGTGGGTAGGTCTATGTTGTATACCATTGTCATTTGTGGGTAGGTCTACGTTGTAAACCCGTGTCATTTGTGGGTAGGTCTACGTTGTATTGGTTCTGCTTTTTCTTTTTTTTCCCCTTTTGTACCAAAGTCACATGGGGCAGACGAAGTAGAGTTCATCTGTTTCAGTGACCTCTCATATGAAGAAGCGCCTTTATTTTCCCAAACATGAGTTTAACACCCATCAGAGCTGGGTGGACTCAGAGACGTTCTCATGACTTGAGCCCGGATCTAGCGCTGTACCCTTAAGCCATGACGTCACATTATGTTGTTTACTATTTTAATTTATTTGAAGTTTTTATCCTTGTTTAGAAACAGCGACGTAATTTAAGAAATCAACAAGGGACAATGGTATGCAACAAAGTTTTATAACATGATGTATCATGATGTATAATCTGCAATATTCCCGTAACTTTTGCAATATCTGATTCCCGTAACTTTTAAAATGCACACAATTTTTTTTAAATATTTTAATTTTAAATCGTATTTTGACTGAGATTGGGGGGGGGGGGGGTGACTATAGTGTGTTGTTCTCTGAACATTTCTAATGATATCAGATAGGTAATACGAGAGACGACATATTACTATTAGTGTAGAAGTCAAAATTTCTAACAAAACAAGAAATAAAACAGTCCATGAACTGAACTTTCGTTCAAACCGTTTTAACCTAATAGGCGTAGCTTGGCTTTGTTAATGAGGGGGGGGGGGGGGGGAAGCTGGTTCAGTTGAGCGTAAAATAATTCCATAATTATCTACGAATTGTCGATATGATGTTTATCCTTTTCATATCACATCGGCTCAAAATGTTTGTTTTCATGAGGAATTATGTAACGTAACAAAAAGAATTTGTGTGGTTGAAAGGTTTATAATATACACACACACACACATATATATATATATATATGTGTGTGTGTGTATGTGTGTGTGTGTGCGTGTGTGTGTGTGTGCGTGTGTGCATGCGTGTGTGTGTTTGTGTGTTTGCGTGTGTGTGTGTGTGAGTGTGTGTGAGTATGTGTGTGTTTGTGTGTGTGTGTTTGTGTGTGCATGTGTGTGCGTGTGTGTGTGTGTGTTTGTGTGTGTGCGTGTGCGTGTGTGTGTTTGTGTGTGTGTGTGTGTGCGCGTGTGTGTGTGTGTAATAGGTTAATCTTCAAACACTAAAAAGCAACACACGTTTCAACAAATTCGCATCCCCTTGGTGTGCAAATAACTCCGCTAATAAATTGGATGTAAGCTAAAATTGCTGAACATGAAAGTGCGCACGTTTCTGGTTTCACATCCTTAGTGACGACATAATGTCTAGATGTATCTCTCGATGTTTACAATCTTGGGTCCCAGTTGTATAGCCTGGGTGTTAGCTAGGTTTTTTAAAATTATCATATTAAGTCAATATCTAGAGACCAGACTTTGTTAAATGTTGATACGTACGGTAAAGTAATAAATATATATACAACCTAGATCCATAGTTTATTATGAAGAAAACGTTAATAATTTTAATTACATTAATTAAGCCTTAAATTATAATTAAATTGCTGTATTTCTTGGAACTAGTCTAGATCTAGATCTAGGTATAGATCTAGAAATCTAGATCTAATAATGTAGATCTGGATTCTAGATCTAGAACCTAGATCTCGATCTAGTAGATCTAGGCTAGGACTATTCTTGATTTTTCTCTATTCTATTCTAGATCTATATCTAGTTTCTCACATTCTCTATCTTTCGCGGTGAAACAATCAGGAAAAGACTCGAAGGTTCCATTAGATATTTAAAAATTCGCGTGTGTTGTTATTTTAAAAAAAAACTGTTGTTATATAGATTTAAATTTAATTAGAGATCTATGTGGCTTTTGTCGGATTTTACTAAATATTGGACGCATTTAATGGTACTATTTTGTAAAACAAATTTCCCTTTTTCTTATTGAAAATGTAAATAAACATGACGAAATTACGTCATGTGTTTTTTTTTTTAAGTATGAATTTTATTTAAAATAGCTACCGAAACAATTTTGAGTACACATTAAATTAATATACGTGGAACCAGATTCAACCAGATTTCTCCCTTCCAGGAGAGATGCCTGGAAGAAACTCTGTTTATCGTGATCCTATCGTTTGATATCACCATTGCTATAATTCCAGGTCGCAAACTTCGCTGTGAGACAGGCCCGCTATATTCAAAAAGAATGCTGAGAGACGTCGTCAAACTCTCTCTTTTTATTTTGATTACAGGTGAATCCATTTTTTTTTCGAATAAGGTATATATTAATGCTAAGTTTGAATGTATACTAACCAGAAGTAAAAAAGGAAATAGGAAATTAAAACCAGCATACAGGTAAATACAATTTTTTTT